CTGCCCGTCATTTACTCCCACTTTTGACATGGTTATGTTCTCTTTGCTTTGCTGCGATAACCTCCAAAACCACCACTTAAGACAGATATTTCCGACCGTTGCTCTGCTTTCTCCTGGCCCCTGCTCTCTTCTGGTTTGCAATGCTCTTGTCTCCTCGGCGACACACTCTACTCATCCTCTCTCGACCCCTTCTCAACCTCTCTCAATACATCAGAAACTGGAGCGCACAGTGCATGCGGGCAACGAGCTGGCAAAGCTGGACGCACACTGTGTTCCTGTCTTCATGGCGACTCGCTCACTCCATTTAACCCCTGTCAACCCCTTCTCAACCTCTCTCAATACATCAGAAACTGGAGCGCACAGTGCATGCGGGCAACAAGTTAGCAAAGCTGGAGGCGAAGGAAGCTGCGAGGATGGACGCCTTCCGCGCTGCGGTGAGATTCGTTGTCGCTCCCCTTAGTGCCTACTCCTCTTGAGATGTCTCAAAATTCAAAGCTGGAGGCGAAGGAAGCTGCGAGGATGGATGCCTTCCGTGCTGCAGTGAGTCGCTGTAGCTCCTTTTAGTACCTTCCCCTTTTGAGGCAACTTCTGGGAAGTTTTTTGAGACATGTCAAAACCCAAAGCCGGAGGCAAAGGAAGCTGCAAGGATGGACGCCTTTTGAGCTGCGGTGAGATTCCTTGTTACCGCGGAATAAGTTTTCCTTTCGAGATGTCGTTTAAAACCTCTCCTGGGACATCTTTTAAACCATCCATCCCTCAAAGCTCGAAGCTGGAGGCGAAGGAAGCTGTGGACGCATTAGTAAAAAGGAATCCAGCTTCCTTCCCCATAAGGGGAAGGTACTAATGGAGGCGAAGGAAGCTATGGACGCATTTCGAGCTGCTGTGAGGTTTGTTTTCTCCCATTAGTACCTTCCCCTTATGAGGCACCTTTGTGACGACTTTTGGACCATTTTTTGAGACGTCTTTTGAGACGTCATCCCTTTCCACTCCGTTGCAATCCTCTCCATCCCTTTCCACTCCATTGCAATCCTCTCCATTCCTTTCCACTCCATTGCAATCCTCTCCATTCCTTTCCACTCCATTGCAATCCTCTCCATCCCTTTCCACTCCATTGCAATCCTCTCCATCCCTTTCCACTCCATTGCAATCCTCTCCATTCCTTTCCACTCCATTGCAATCCTCTCCATTCCTTTCCATCCGTCCCACTCCTGCCATGGCATCCGTCCCACTCCTTTTCACCGCTTTCCACTCCTTAGCACTCTTCACTTCCCTTCTCCTCCCCCCTTCCGCCTCACAGCTGGGTCTGCCCTCGTCAGAGGAACAGCGACAGGCGGAGTGGAGGGCAGCAGCCACCCAAGGGACACCAATGGCATCCGTTTCACACCGTTTTACTCTGTTCCACTTCATTCCACTCCATCACTCTCTTCCTGCATCCTTTCCTGGACCCCCTCTGTCTCTCACAGCTGGGTTTGCCTTCATCGGAGGCACAGCGTCAGGCAGAGTGGAGGGCAGCAGCCACCCAAGCCATGGCTGTTGCAGATGCTGAAGCTGCTGCTGCGGCTGTGGTTATTGCTGCTGCTGCTGCTGGTCCTTCTAGGAATGGTGGCTTCAAACGAGTGGACAGCAAAGAGAGAAGATAGCATGTTGGGGCTGCTGCTGCTGCTGACGCTGCTAGTGCTGCTGCTTCTGCTGCTGCTGCTGCTTCTGCTGCGTTGAGGGATGATGGCATTAAACGAGTGGACAGCAGAGAGAGAAGATACTAGCAGAGACACGTTACACTTGCCATTGCTGCTACTGGTGCTGCTGGGGAGTCGGCAAGGTCAGAAGGGTCAACAGGGTCAATAGTTGGGTGACTGGCAGTCAACAGCACATCAACCGAAACACTGTAGATTTGTTCCAGAATATCATACTGTATAAGTTTTATTAGTACAGAGTTAACATTTCCTCTGAGAGAATCAATTGTGCATGAAGATTTTGAAACATGTGACAAGCGCCGAAAGCAAAGAAAAAGGCAGTCCGTCTGGATCAGTCTTCTTTTCGCTTGCTCACATCACCACTGCCGCCATCAGAAATCGATCTTCTCATAGAAACATACGCCAACAAGGAGGAGGAAGAAACCTTTCCAGGCAGTCTTCCCCTAGTGGGGAAAGACGGCGAGTAAGCACTGAGCTCAGCAGCAGCAGAGGAGAAGGGCACCGAGCGGGGTGAACCAGTGTCACAGGATGCCACGGGAAACAAGTTATGAGAGTTGACCAATTCCCCAGGCCCAGGACAACGCGCCGATCCAGCTTTTCCCACAACCCTTTCTGAAGTTAGGCTTGGCGCCGAACGTGTAACCAAGCCTTGCACGAGCCTGTTGTCACCAAGACCGGATTCCAAGCCTCCCTCTCCTTGCTTTCCCTGACCTGAGCTGCTTTTCCTCGCTCCCTTACCTCCCCGTCCTCCTCTCCCTTTCCTTCCTGAATCCCTCCTCTCCTCCCTTCTCTCCTCTCTGCCTCCCTTCCCTCCAAGCCCTGTTTCCCCTCCTAACCCTATCTCTCCTCGATACGCCTGTTCTCCCGCTACTCCCGACCAAGACTTTCCAAGAATCCGTAGCCGCGAAAACCATCCTTGAAACGGATTCAAACGGATGTGATTGAAACGAAGGTGTTTCACGAACCACAGCCACCGACCAGGGTTTCTGCCGGCCGCTTGGACGGCCGCGACGAACGCGAACACCTTAAAGGGTCCGTCTATAAAGGAGATGAACGAGCGGTAGTGGGAAAAGGCGCAGGACCAGCGGTAACTGCAGAAGGGGAGGGCTGCGAGCATGATGAGCAGCTGGATACCGCTACCGAGGATGAGTATAGCGAGTATGGACGCCGCGAGTTGCGCGGACCAATCATGGTGGCGGTGGCGGGTGTGATTGTACGGGGGGTGTGCCGGCTGGGTGGTGGGGTGAGAGGAAGATCTCGTTATAGCCACTGCGCATGCGGGGGGTGGGGAAGGCGGGGGAGGGGGGAAGTCGGGAAGAGGGAAGGCGGGGGAGGGGGAAGGCGGGGGAAGGGGAAGGCGGGGGAGGGGGGAAGTCAGGAAGGAGGGAAGGCGGGGGAGGGGGAAGGCGGGGGAGGGGGGAAGTCGGGAAGGAGGGTGGGACGGAGAGGGGTGCGGGTGTGGAGAGGGGAAGGTGGAAGAAGGCGATGCATCGGATTAGAGCAAGGGAGAGGGGTCACGGAGATATTAGTCTCGTCTGGTACGTTTCGTCTGCGCAAGCTAACCGATTTTGTATGTTCGACAGCTCAGCATGAACACGCGTATGGTGTCGGCCACGTCAGCCACCAGTCAGAACAACGCCGAGTCACCGTATTCTTAACTGTATCTTATCGACGCTACATAACGACACCGTATCTTTAGGCTACGGTCGACGGTCCGACTGTTGAAGCGGGTCGAACGACGGTAAGACTAGACTACATGCTAGCAGCAGCTCAGAAACACCAGCGAAATTCGGTATGCCAGCGACACGCACCTCGCCAGTGGTACGTCCCCGATTGTATCACATCCGATTCAGTCAGTACGAGCGGTGCGCCTTGGGACGCCTTGTCCCCGAGCACGAGACAGCCCGGCGACCCCGTGAGTCGCTCCAGCGCGTCGCATAACTCGCCGGCCGGCTTGCCGCCTAGGAACTGCGCGAGTACGGCGTCGGAGCGCGCATCGCGGACGACTATGGCTGTGGGAAGAGGGAGCACTCGCGCTGGTGCCATGCAATGAGGGTGATCCCACCAACCAGAAAACGTGTTAGAATTCAATTAATTTAACTTTAGAATATATTAAGTTTTTGTCATGGATATCGGCCTATTAGCTCAGTTGGTTAGAGCGTCGTGCTAATAACGCGAAGGTCACAGGTTCGAAACCTGTATGGGCCACTACCTCGTTGTGTTTTACATTTTAAGTAATTGTTGCTCAATGTTGTGATTCCTGCTCAGACTGAATTCTATTATTTCCTAGCGCGTCAGGACTTCACACCGTTTTTTGTTTTTTTTCATGAAGAGGCCAATACTTCGTATAGATATGGCCTGTATGCATTTCTGCGGCACAACGCTTCCGACCAATTTGTAATGCATAGATCTGGCTCAGAATGCAGTTTAGAATATAAGTTCATTGTTCTGTCTGATTTTTATTGTAGCATGAAACGTGTAGGATAGAAGCATGTAGAGTTGGAATTACATTTATCTACGCTGATGATGTAAGGAATGTTATGTGGGTGTAGGGTTGAAGCAATTTCGAGAAGTCAGCGACTTTATGTGGGTGTTACGCCACAATGGCGGTGGAATTTCGCTGCCAGCAGGGACGGATCGCATGACCGAGTTCAATCTGCCCTGGGCTGAACTCGCGTCGCAGTCGTTACAGGCACACGAACTGTATGGCTCTCACATTCCAGGTGATAATGAGGATGGCTCCTCCTCGGACGGCCTTTGACCTTGGCGATTGAGCATACGAAGGTTACGGACGATTGGAAGGTCTCCTAACAGATATGATGCGGTATAAAGTGGTTCTATTCCTCGTTTGCCTACGGAAATGCGGAAGATCCATGCGACGTAGCCGTAGTTTCTCTATCCCATCCGCTCTCGGCACTCTCCCTGCGACGATTTTGGTAGGCCAGCAAGAGTACCTAGTCTCTAGAAGCGCTCATATGACTAGAGCAGCACAACAGCCCCTGTTGTGTTGGACCCAGGTTTTGTCTCATCAGACCGACCGCTTTTCAGCAACTCCAGATTGTGTCCAGTTCGTTAAACCCGCCTTTTCTGAAAAACAGTTATCTTGTCAGGAAGCACACAGCCCACATCGTGTATGTTTTGCCTAGTGTTGGGCGTTATACAGAACCATTCGTAGGAACTCACATCCGCTAGAGGGATATGTATCACCCACGCCCTTCTCGCGCTGGGCCGCGCGCCGTCGCGCGGTACTTGGAAACCGTCAGCGACCCTCACGATCACGAGCGACGTCGCGCGAAGGTCACTGCGATGTCGAACGACCTCAACTCCATTCGCCAGCGGTTTCGCGAGGTGCAAGAGGACGATGCGTACCTATCGCAGGAGCTCGAGCGCATCCAGCGGCAGCGCGAGGAAGAGGCGCGCCACGAAGCGAAGCTGGATTTCCGCGGGCTTCGGCTCTACCGCGAGTTGACCTCCACATCCGAACCCATGTACTGGCGCGAAAATCCCGAGAAAACGGAGACCACGGGAGCTAAGCCAACCGCTCCGGCTGCTGGTAACCCTGGTAACCCTCCAGGTGGTAACATGTGGAGTTACTCCTCCGTCGCTCCCTCTTCCTCGGTTCCGAAGCTGCAGCATATGGTTCAGCCGTCCGCTTCCGGAATTACATTCTACAGCGCGAATGGCGGCGGAAGGAGCGGGCGAATTGAGACGTACGAGAGTGCGGTGAATAGCGGTGGAAGCGAGGGGAAGAAAGCTGAGAGCAAGAAGAGTAGTGGTGGTTTCGCGAGCTGGCTGATGGGAGGAGCGGATCAGGAGCAGCATCTGCTGTGGGATAAGCCGGAATATAAGGAGGGCGAGGCGAAACTGATTCTGTGAGGGAAGATTAGAGGTCGACGTAGCTAAAATTAGTATTTCCTCGTAGGAGGACCGTGGAACTAAGTGATCGCATCAAAGAGCGTGTGAACTTCTCAGTCACACATCTGCATAATTATCTGTTTTCCAGTGAAAGATACCAAGTCTTCATGTAGTTCTTAGCTCAGTGAATTTGTCTCATGATGTGATTCCTCGATGTTCAACTGTATAATGCGACTGAATTACAAGGAACGATAAATATTCGCGATACAATACTTTAGATTACACATATCCAAGTATACTTCCAAGGAAACGATATTTTTTTTTATAACAGAGGCAAGTGTACCAGAACAGCCATTGGTGAGGTGTTTTTGCGAGTGTCTGCTATGCTACTAGCCCCATAATCATGTCGGGAAGAATAACTCGTTATGGTTTTTTCTGTACAATCACATGTGAGAGTTCGGAGCCACGTCCCTTCACATCTGAGCCCCTTCGACGTGGCAAGCGACTCGTAATGCGAAGCGCTCGTGGTTACAGCAGGCGTCGTTGACGCACCGCGGATTCAATGTCGAGGGCGACCGCGCTTCGACAAGCAAGCAAGCAGCCAACCAATCCACTCCACTCCATCCATGATTTCATCTCCCTCGTTGTTGCCCCTCCGCCCCTCCCTTCCGTCCCTTCCCTTCCCAAATCCAGCCCTCCCCAACCCTGTTGCCCCTGTTGCGATGTGAGATGTTCCATTCTATCTCCTCTCCGTACCCAAATCTGGCTCAAACCAGGCTGATCCCCACCATCGGTATGCTTGACCACTCCCACATGCCCGCACCACAGCGCATTTCATTTATTCTGTCACCTTGTTATCCCACTTCCTTTATGGTGACTTCTGAGTCTGTGGTGTCGTAGCTTCCACATCGTGGTTTAGTGTGACGTTCAGGAGCTTCTCCTCTAGTCGCGGTCGTGTAGACTTGGAACACTTGTCTCGTGGAACAAGGGTTCCACGAATGTACTCTGTCTAGTTTTAAGGAAACTTACCATATTTCACATTCTGAAGGATATAGTAGAAATTCTCAGCAGAGTAAGGACATAGCATGTATTCCCACGCGCCTTACGGCGAGCGGCGGCGGGGCCGCCCGTCGCCCGCGGAGTTTTACCTCGAAGACCGCGGCGAGCGCGAGCGACGTCGCGCGGAGATCGGCGGATTCAGCAAGGACCTGGACGAGATGCGACAGCGACTGCGTGCGATGCGAGTGGAGGAGACGCAGGAGATTCAGCAGCTGCGGCAGAAGCAGGAACAGGCGGCGTTCGAAGCGGAGCAGGCGCAGAAATTGCGCGAGCAGCAGATTCTCCTCCTGCAGAAGCAGCGCCAGTTGTCTTACGCCACGTGGCGCGGCGAAGGCACGCGTCCGTACGAGTCGCCGTTCGATAAGGAGTCGGAGCTGCTACCCTCCGCGTATCACGCTGTGGTCGGCAAGCCGCACTTACCCGTCGCGAACGCACCAGTAAGAGTCGACCACGTGGAGCTTCCTCCCCCGGTTTGGTCCGCGTCACGTTCGTCCGCGAGCCTCTTCAACTACGCGAGCCGCGGCACTGGCTCTATTAGTCGGGCCACCGGATCCGGCGCGCGCGGCTTGGGCGCCGCAATGCCCGGCGCCAGCAGCGGCGCGAGCCGGAGCAGCGGGGGAAGCAGCTTGTCAGACGCCGTTTGCTCTAGCAGCAGCAGCGGCGGCTGTGACGTGACGGCTAGCCGTCAGCACTACGGGAGCAGGTACGTGACGGCCGGGGCCTACGGTCACGGCGGTATCGCGAATGACGTGGCGATGACCTCACACCCGTTTAGCGGCGTTGTCCCTCCGTACACCGGCTTCAGCTTGAAGAGCGCTACGAGCGAGGCTGGCGAGAGCGCCCGATACAATCACACGCGCAGCGCAACCAGCAGCAGCAGCACGGACGAAATCGACGACTCCGCGGATTTCAACCCGCGCAGCCAGGGCAACCCGGTCGCGCTACCCGTTCCGAAACTCCCCATTCCGCCTGCTCGCGCGCCTAACCCCCTCGTTGCTGCCTTACCGCAGACCATCCCGCTCGCTACTAGCACATTCGATAGTGGCGCTCAGGACAGTGTCATGGCGGGTGTTTCGTCCTCGCCGCCGTCCGAACCTTTGGAGGAGCTGCCATCTGAACCGTCCACCCCGATCGTCCTCTATTCGCCCACCGCGTTCGCCGCTCGCCACCCCTCCATCCAGCCGTCGTTTAGCTGCTTTCTCACCTCCTCCGCACTGCACTCCTCCGCTTCCCCCTTTTCCTCCTCCTCTCCCCCTTCCACCTCCGCCTCCTCGTTCTCCTCCCCCGTATCCTCGTCTTTGTCAGCCTCGCTATCCGCTACTGCTGATGCTGCGGATGCTGCCGATTCCGATGACGCGCCTCTTCTTTCGTCATCGACTAAACGTGGCTCTGCGCACGCTGCTCGTTATAATCACTACGCGGAAGACGCGCTCAAGGCTTCCGCCTGGAGCCCTCCGCGCGGCTCTCTTTCGCCCCCTCCCAGCGGTTGCGCGGATGCTGTTATTGACGAGCCCTTGCCGCCCGCAGCCACGTCAGCGCAATCAGACGTGGCAGATGTGACTTGGCAGGCACCCGAGTCCTCCCCTGCGCATTCCTTCGCTCACTCCGCAAGCCGCGCCGCGTTCGACGGTGGAGTTACTCCTTCTCTGCCTCATGCATCTCTTTTGATGTCTTCTCACGACTTCGCGGAAAATTCGGATGAAGTAGCAAAGGCAGAGGCAGCGGCGAACGCGGCTAGCACCGTACCTGGCGCCGCATCTTCCGCCGCGAATAGCGCCGCAACATCCGCCGCCGGTGGCAGCTCGTTTTCTCTCGGGAACCTCTTCTCATGGACGCGCGCAGAAGCGACAGCGCAACCGCCCAAACCTGTGTCACTGCCGCCCACGCTTTCTCTCGCTTCAGCACAGGTGTTCACGGGACCAGAATTTCACTCCACGTCATCCTACTTCGTCTCCACGTCATCAGGCAGCTCCAACCGTTCGATCAACGGCTACGATGCCGAATCGGAGGGCATCGATGGCTCACGGGCCAAGGAGGGGAAAGGAGGGGAGAATGGATTTGAGAACAATAAAGAGGATGACAATAACGAGTTCGACGAGCCGCTTTATTTGCTGGACACCAAGCACGGGTCGCGCAGGGAAGTGGGGTGTGATTATAGCGAGAGCTCCACTAAGGAGCCTTCGTCTGCTGCTCTGAATAGAGCTTTGAGCAAACTCGCTGAAACAAATGGCGCCTCGCATGCCACCGCTGCTGCTGATGTTTCAGCTACTGCCGCTGCTACAACCGCTGCTGCTACAGCCGCTCCACCCGGGGGGTTGGCGAGTATGAGCTTCACTAGCCGGCTGAGCCAGCTGATTGGCTTAGGCAGTGGCGGCGGTAACGGTAACGGTAGCAGTAACGGGAACAGTGACAGTAACGGTGATGATACAGGTGCCGGCAGCAGTGTTGGAGGTGGCATTGGCGGTGGGAAGGGATACGCGTTATTGAGCTTGGATGAAGGCGACGCGGTGACGTTTAACGAAGCGAGCCCGTCTTGCTGGGCTCCCACGTCAGCAGCCACGTCAGCAGGCACCACCACCACTAGTGCTCCTCCTGCTGCTTTGTTTGCGAGCATGGGAGGTATGGAGATTGAGAATGGTTTGGAGGCGCTTCGAAGCGCGGAAGCGGGAGATACGGCGACGGATGGAGAAGCGGCCATGGATGGGGTGGTTCTGCTCGCTGCTGCTGCCGCTCCTGCTTCTCCTCCCCTTCCCTGCCGTGATGCCCCTGCTCCTCCCGCAACCCCTGCAGTCCCCGCTGTTACCGCAGTTTCCGCTGCTTCTGCCCCTGCTGTTGCTTCTGCCGCTGCTGCTGTTGCCGCTTCTGCCGCTGCTGTTTCCGCTGTTTCTGCCCTTGCTGTTGCTTCTGCCGCTGCTGCGGATGCTTCTGGTTCTGTTGCCGACTCCTTATCCGCGACAGGCAAGGGGAAGGCGCCCAAGTCGTCGTCTAAAGCGGCTGCTGCGGCCGCCATTGCTGCCGCCGCTGCCGCCAAGATCGCCGCGCTGGGGATTGGGGGGAAGGCGGAGGAGAAGCGGCATGCGGAAGGGGGGGAGTCGGGAAGCCGGGGGGAGGAAGAAGGGGGAGAAGGGGAAGCGGATGAAGACGAGGAGGAGGAGGAGGGCGGAGAGAGGAGAGAGGGAGCGCGGAAAGCGTTCTGGGACGAGGGGGAGTATGAGGGGGAGGGAGAGGCGGAAGAGGAGGTGAACGAGATATTGGAGCTTCAGGAGTGGATGGAGGCGCAGATGCTGGTTGAGGGGGTGCGGAGGGCGCTCACGCGCGGAGGGACCGGGGGAAGCGGAGCGGTCGGGGGAAGCGGAGTGGGGAGAGTGAGTGAGGTGGAAACTGGAGGGGGAGGAGGGGGAGCGGCAGCAGCAGGAGCAAGAGCAGCAGCGAGTGTGTGTGATGCTGAGATGGAAGCATGGATGCTTGCTCTGCCTCCGCTGGTGGTGATGGCTCGTAGTGACGATGGTGTTGAGGAGACTAGTGAGGAGGAAGAGGTGGTGGAAGAGGAGGGAGAGGAGGTGGAAGAGGAGGGAGAGGAGGTGGAAGAGGAGGTAGAGGTGATTGAGTTGGAGGAAGGGGAGGAGCTGGAGGAGGGAATGGAGGTGGTAGAGATTTTGGAGGAGAGGGAGGAGGAAGAGGAGTATGAGCAGCATGAGGAGGAGCATGAGGACGCAAGGGAAGAAGCGGAGGTTGTGGAAGAGGGTAGTGAGAGTGCGAGCGACAACGAGTGTGATGAGGATGGGCATGGTGGGGAGGCGTATGGAAGTGAGGGAGAGGAGGAGAGGGAATTTGGCAGTGAATGTGGAAGTGAGTATGAGAGTGAGAGGGAGAGAGATGAGGGGAGTGTGAGTGAGAGGGGCAGTGAGTGTGGGAGTGAGAGTAGAAGCGAGAGTGGGAGTGAGTGTAGGAGCGAGAGTGGGAGTGAGTGTGGGAGCGATATTGGGTCAGTGAGTGAGGCGAGTGAGGGTGTGAGTGTGAGGAGCGGAAGTGAGAGTGAGGATGAGAGGGAGGAGAGAGAAGAAAATGAGGATGAGAGTGAGGATGAGAGGGTGGAGAGTGAGGAGGAGAGGGAAGAGGGTGAGGAGAGGGAGGAGAGTGAGGAGGAGAGAGAAGCGGAGATCAAGGAGTGCGGTGGTAGTGATGGAGGGGAAGTTGGTGAGAGCGAGGATGAGAGGGAGGAGAGAGAAAAAGATGAGGGCGAGAGAGTGGAAATTGAGGAGGAGATTGAGGAGTGTGGTGGTAGTGATGGAGGGGAAGTTGGCGAGAGTGAGTGTGGGAGTGAGAAGGGAGAGGAGGGCAGTCTGGAGAATGAGGGAGAGAACGAGGATGGGGAGGAGGGAGGTGAAAGGAATGCGGGAGAGGAAGCTGCTGAGAGTGAGTGCGGGAGTGAGTGGGAAGAGGAAGCGAGTTTGAAGAGTGAAGGAGAAAGCGAGGATGAGAGGGAAGAGGGCATTGAAGCGAGGGAGGAGGAGGAAATGGAAGCGAGGGAAGAGACGGAGGAGAAGGTAGAGAGGGAAGAGGAGGAAGGGATTGATACCGAGGAGGGAGCTGAAACAAACAGTGAAGAAGCAGAAGAAATAGTGAAATCAGAAGAGGCAGAAAGTGAACTGAATGGTGCATGTGAGGACGCGGGTATAGTAGTGTGTGAGGAGAGTGCTGAGAGTGTGGAAGAGGCACAGGAGGAAGAAGAGGAGGGACAGAAGGGAAAAGGAGTGCAGGAGAGTGTGGAGTTGAGTGGTGTGGAGAGATTTGAGGGGAAGGACGATGCTGCTTCGTGCATTTCCCCTTCGTGCAGCGATGAGGGGAGTGTGATGGGTGGAGAGGGACACGTTAAGGAGAGAAGGGATGAGACAACAGACGTGGCAGGGAGCGCTGACCTGGCGGGAACCGTCCTTGATGCTGCTGATGTGGCCGACGGTGCAGACGTGACAGAAGGAGCCGACGTGGCTGAAGATGCGGATGTGTCAAGTTGTGCTGATGTGGCAGAAGGAGCTGATGTGTCAAGTGGTGTCGACGTGGTAGGAAGTCCGGAAGCATGTGACAGGCTGGCAGAGGACGCTGGATTAGGCGCAGGGGGGAAGGAGGAAGGGAGTGAGGAGGAAAGTGAGGAGGGAAGTGAAGAGGAGAGTGGGGAGACGACGGGTGAGGACGAAGCTGGTGTGGAGGAAGAGAGCGGTGGGGCTGAGGAGAGTGTGGAGGAAGGAGTAGAGAGAGAGGAGCACCAGGAGGTAGCTGAGGAGGAAAGAGAGGATGAGGAGGTGGAGGTGAAGGGAGAGGAGGGCGAGGAGGGAGAGGAGGTGGAGGTGGTGTATGAGTGTGTGAGTGAGGGGAATTCGGAAGTAGGGGAGGAAGTGGAAGTGGAGGAAATGGACGAAGCAGAGGGAGAGGAAACTGAAGAGAAGGAGGAAATGGAGGGCGAGGAGGTAAAGGAGGGAGAGGGGCATGAGGAGGAGGACGAGGGAGCGAGGGAAGAGGGAGTTGAAGTGGAGGAAGAAGAGGAGGTATTGGAAGCACAGGCAGAAGAGGTGGAAGAGGAGGGAGCGGAGGAAGAGGGAGAGGTAAAGGAGGAGGAAGAGGAGGGAGCGGACGAGAAGGAAGAGGAGGGCGAGGAGGAAGAGGTAGATGAGGAGGACGAAGAGGGAGTGATATACGAGTACGTGAACGAAGAGGATCTCGAGGACGGGGAGAAAGAAGAGGAGGTGATGGAAGAAGCACAGGCAGACGACGGGGAAGAGGTAGCGCAGGAGGAGGGAGAGGAGGTAAAGGAGGGAGAGGAGGGAGTTATATACGAGTATGCTAATGAGCAGGATCCTGAAGACAGGAAGAAGATGGAGGAAGCGACGGAGGAAGGAGTGCAACTAGAGGAGGGCGAGAGGGAAGAGGAGGGGGAAGAGGAGGGAGAAGAGGAGGAAGAGGAAGAGGGAGAAGAGGAGGAAGAGGAGGGAGTGATCTATGAGTATGTGAACGAGGAGGATCTCGAGGAAGGGGAGGAGATCGTTGAGTTCGTGTATGAAGACGAGGAGAGAGAGGAGGGAGTGGGAGAGGAGGGAGAGCAGGGAGAGGAGGGAGAGGAGGAGGTGGCAGAAAGTGGGGAAGAACAGGAGGAAGGGGAAGAGTATGAAGAGGAGGAAGGAGAGGAAGCGTATGAAGTAGTGGAGGAGTTGGAAGAGGAGGACGGGGGAGAGGGTGGGGAGGAGGGAGAAGAAGAGGAGGAAGTTGATATATTGGAGGGCGAGGGGGAAGGGGAGGAGGTGGAGGAGATATTATCGGAGGATGAGCGGGAAAAGATGCTGGATGATAATGGTTACCTTGATGATGGTGGGGAGGAGGGGGAGGTGGAAGAGGGGATTGTAGGAGAGGAGAGTGTGGGCGCGGAGAGTGTGGGCGAGGAGGATACGTTGGATGGTGGGGAAAAGGGGGAGGTGAAGGAGGAGGGACAGGAGAGTGTGGGAGGCATGGAGAGGGACGGAGAGGACGGTGAGGTAGGAGTGGGGAGTGAGGATGGAGAGGGAAGCAGGGGAGAGGAGGGGAAAGAGGCGGAGGGAGAACATGGATCTGGAAGTGAGGAACACAATAACGAGGATGGGGAATGGGAGGGGGGTGCTGAGGAACGTGAGGATGTGAGTGTGGGTGGGGAGGAGGGGAGTGAGTATGGTGATGATGTGAGCTTGGGGAGTGATGAGGAGTACGAGGATGTTCAGGAGGAGTATGAAGAGGTGGAGGAGGAACTGTCTTACACTATGAGTGAGGGGGAGGGTGGGGAGGAAGTGAGTGAGGGAGGTGAAGAGGGAGAGGGTGAGGGAGTGGGAGAGGGAGAGGAAGGAGAGGCTATTGAGGAGGGTGTTGCAAACGGTTCAGAGGGATCTGGGGAGGAGATTGAGGAGAGCAGAAGTGGAGAAGAAGATTCGAGTGCACATGATTCGCCTCACATGAGGATTGAAGAGGAGAGAGTGATGGGAGATGGAGGTATGGAGAAGGATGAAGAGGCGGTGTCCGAGGATGGAGAGTGGGAGGAAGTGGGGTCAGAGGAAGGCTCGTGGGAAGATTCAGAGGAATTCTCAGAGGAGGGTTCACATGGGGGCGAGTTGGAGAGCACCGGACAAGAAGCAGCAACCAGTGCTGCCTCTACACCAGCGCAAAAGGAGCAGAAGCAGAGGGCAGGGCGGAGGCGGCGCAGGGTGCACAAGGCGGGAGTGTCGTTTGGGAAATTCATCCCCGCTGAGTTGAGCGAGCTGGAGTCCCACGAGCTGGAGGGGGAGGGCGAGGCGGAGGGGCACAAAGGGGAAGAGCAGGATAAGGGAGTGGTGCTGTGCGGTTGAGCTGGGCTGAGAGGTGCAGGGGCGGGGGTGTCGTTTGGAAAATTCATCCCCGCTGAGCTGAGCGAGCTGGAATCACACGAGCTGGAGGGGGAGGCAGAAGGAGCAGAAGGAGCATGTGCAGCGAATGGTGGTGCTGTGGCGCAGAGCTCAGATGAGATGAGATGAGATGAGTTGAGCTGAGCTGAGAGCAGGGTGCACAGGGTTTAGGGTGGCAGTGTCACTCATCCCCCCTGAACTGAGTAACCTGGAGTCCCATGAGATGGAGGGGGAGGGCGAGGGGCACTAAGGAGAGGAGCAGGAGAAGGACAGAGCGGTGTTGTGCGGTTGAGGTGAGCTGAGTGAAGTGGAGTCCCAAGAGAGCTGAAGTGGTGGGGGGGGGGGGGGGGGGGAGAGGGCGAGGGGTACAAGAGGGGACAGCATGAGTGTTGAAGGTTTTGTGAGGGGCAGGAGAAGAACTGATTGGTGCTGTGCGGTTGAGCTTGGGAGAGTCTGATTTGATGAGTTGGAGCGAGGAGCAAGTGGGAGAGCAACAGGAGGAGCAAACGGAGCAACAGGGGGAAGAGGTTGAGCCAAGGGTGTGTGCTTGAGGCGAGGTGGCTGGATTGCCTTGCTTTGTGCCATTACACAATAATGGTATCGATTAGGCCACCAGTGGAAGCTTGATGCTGGACTTGGTGTCGGTAGGTTCTGCAACTGTAGCTTGGTGCAATGCTGTTTAGCGTAGGGAGCTCTTTGTTCTCGTTTGTTAGGGGCGGTTACCATGTATGTGTGTAGTTAGTGCTGCCAACCTCCTTTAGCTTGTGAAACTTGCGCCTCATTGAACAGAATGTATGCTTGTGTGTTGCCTCCTAGTTTCTTGGGCTGTTTGACGATGAGCAATCTACAACAAGAATGAGCAACGATGCCCTTAAAGCCCCCATTCCACTCCCCCTCACCCCCCTTTATCCCCCTCTTACCGTACCACTTTCCACTTTCCCTACTACTGTAACATACCAAGGACCAACAACAAATGCGTGTACAAATGTACACCAAAAGAACTGCAAGAGATTGCATCACCCAAATGTTTGAGCTGGTTTTGTTATGCTTTTATAGCTCCCTGTCACCATTTCTGAGCCGAAAGCTCTTTCATTGGTTCTTGTCTTCAAGGCCTATTTTGAGGGTGAGGTTTCTGCTTGGTATGTGGTGAAGTAAAACCATTTTTGAAGTGTTTGTTTATTACAATTGCAGCACAGATGCTTGACTGCTTCTAGCATCCCCTTGCGAGCTTTTCTGCACCAACCATGGGATGGTTCGCATGGTATGAAGAGATATCCAATCATAAGCTCGCTTTTTGATCAACCAATAACCTGTCGTCTCGCGCGTGACCGTGCGACTCGTGAGGGCACTGACAACATCAGCCCTTAGTTTGCGTCTCTTTCGCCAGGCGCTGATCAGTCCCGAGACGAAACCTTTCGTGGCCGGGCAGACTGCAAATTCAGTGCGGCGACAAACAAAGTCCTACAGTATGTGTGGTTGGATGGATGGATGCGCGAAGTCTGACGGAAGCCGGCTGAGTGTCAGCTGAATGGACGGGAAAGTCAAGAAACAGACAGAAGAAGTTCAACTGTAGGTAACGGAGCGGAGCCGACAAACGCAAGTGGAGCGGAGAGATGGGAGAGGGGAGAGGGGAGAGGGGAGAGGAGGGATGAATGAGAGAAGTGGAGGAGGCCCGTGGCGAAACCCTAGCCCCACCAGCCGTTTCCCCCTCCCAACCAATCCCAGTGAGAACAAACCCCGAGGTTTGTCGGAGTTACGGCGAGGTGAGTAGTAGGGGAGAAGAGTTATGGATGGAGGAGCCACTCTTCTGTTGGTCTATCACATCACTGCTCATTGGACCCACAACACCATGGTCACGACTCATGAGGAAAGCCAGCTAGAAAGAGTCGGATTCATTGGTATTTCTGAACCAAACTGAGAAGCTTTCATGTTTGTGTTGAGGTTACGTGCAGCTGCTGCTTCCTTCCAACGCTCTCCTGCGCTGGGGCTTGCGTAGAGCTCGCCCCGAGATGTCACTATGGCTTTAGCTAGTGCCGTTTTAGGGCGTCGGCTCAGCCCTGAGTTTAGAGTCGCGAGGGTAGTAGCGCAGTCGCGTCAGAACTAGCGTCTCATCTCGAGGCTTAGTTCAGGTCCGTCTACGTCCGTCCAGTTCCGTCCGGGTCCGTCCAGGAATGGCTAAGAACAGGAGGAGCTCCGGCGTGGGGTCTTCGGATCCCAGCGGCGCCGCTGCCGGGTTGTCTAGGAGCGGCAAGCCCGGAGGCGTGTCGGGCCGGCTGGTGAACGTGTTCGAGCAGCTGTGGAACCGTCGCAAGTTCGACATTCTGGGACGCAAGGTCAAGGGCGATGTTCGCGCCAAGTCCATCGGCAAGGCCAGGAGCGCGGCTGTGGAAAAGGTTAGTCCTAGGGAACGTAGCTACTGTTTGAGTCGTCGAAAATGGAGCTGTGCGGTTGAGAAGGTTTGCGTTGGGGAGTGTAAGAGCAAGCCTCAAGAACGGTCGTTGCTAGCTCTTCTTTGATGATCCTTTGCTGCAGACTTAGCTCGGCCGAGATGTTGATTTCTCCTTCGCCACGTTCGTGCCTCATTTCCCGTTTCTTCCCGAATAGTTTCCTAAACGAAACGGAGAATCCGGTGTTTGGATGCGATTCTTAGAGCGCCGCAACGCCTGTATACATAGCACCAGCTCCGTAGCTCCGTAGCTCAGTGAGGCCGCTCCGCTCTTGCTGTCGCAGCTTCTGGTTTAGACCTCCTCCCCTCTCCGTGACACTTCCTTTCCGTCTTCCCGTCGCTTCGCACCCTCCCTCCCTTCCCTTGATCTTCTTCCCTGCAATTCTTGATGGCTTTCCGTTTCAGATATGTTGGTTCTTGAGATTCTCCAAAAATTAATCGAGCTCTCGCGTCTCCCGTTCAACTCTCGACGGCTATCTCTTCCGCGCTGCACTGACGACTTCCGTTCCGCGAGCCGTTTCCGTTCCGCGCTGCGCTGATGGCTTTCATTTCGCACTGCACTGACGGCTTTCATTCCGCGCCGCACTGACCTCTCGCCGTTTGGCAGTATCCCACCTCATCTTACGGTGTCTTCCCCATCCTCTTCCCCATCCTCTTGTACATACCCTTACCCCAGCCCAGCCATGATTAGAGGAAAGCGACGCACCTGCTGGTGTTTCGGGAGCGCGGGGAGAGGCGAATCTATCCTTTTTTCTCTCTCTTTCTACACTTATCCGTCGTACTCATCTGCATCCTCATTGGCATGTCCACTCCAACCACCAGCAGAGGAAGGCGACGCTGCTGCAAGAGTTTCAGATGCGCGGCAAGGCGCGTCTGTTTGGGTATCGGTTGTCTCTTCTGTTTCCGCTCACTTCTTGTCCATCTTGAATTTACATCCCCGCTTGCATTCGCCCTAACCGCCATCAGAGGAAGGCGACGCTGCTGCAGGAGTTTCAGCAGCGCGGCAAGGCGAACCTGTTTCTGGATCGGAGGTTCGGCGAGGGCGACGAGTCCATTCCCGAGGGCGAGAAGGCCATCGTACGATTCCAGAAGGAGCGCATGGTACGTCGTGACATGGCATGGCATGATACGGTATGGCACGGCGTGGTACAGTATGGCATGCCATTGCGCTACCTTGTGCTCTTTGCTCCTCCCGAGGGCGACGAGTCCATTTCCGAGGGCGAGAAGGCAATCGTGCGGTTCTAGAAGGAACGCATGGTACATCGTGGCATGGCATGGCATGGTACGGTACGGTAGGTTATGGCATTGCATGACATGGTACGCTATTCATGATTGTGACATGTCCTTGCGCTACTTTGCGTTCCGCCACAACGGCATGGGACTTTGCCACTGCCGATGCTTTGGGACGCTCTCTAAATCCCGCTCTTCCCATGTGTTTCTCCTTCTCTGGTTTTCCCAGGCCGCTGGCCCAGCTGGGTTGCAAGAACCGGTTTTCCCTCGGGGACGACTGCGACAGGCGAATCTGCTGTTGTCAGTGTTTTGTTATCTGTTTCCCATCCGTTTCTCCTTTCCGTTTCCCATCCGTTTCTCCTTTCCGTTTCCCTCCTCTCCAGGCCCAGCTGAGTCGCAAGAACCGGTTCTCCCTCGGGGACGACGACGAGAGCGACGACGACGACGGGGAGGGCGACGACGGAGGCGGAGGAGGCGAGGGGAGGCGCAGCAGCAGGCGGGCGGCGGCGAGTGAGGACGGCGACTTGCGTCTGACGCATGGCGGGCGCGACATTGACGACTTTGACGACTCGGACGTGTCTGGCTTTGGGGAGGATGAGGATGACGACGATGGAACACGTGAGTTGGTGATTGGGGTGTGTGGGCTGGTGATAAGAGTCAGGTTGCCTCTTCTCTGACGCACGGCGGGCGCGACATTGACGACTCGGACGTGTCTGGCTTTGGGGAGGATGAGGATGATGATGATGATGGAGCACTTTTGAGAATTCTCAAAAGACGATGATGGAGCACGTGAGTTGGTGATTGCAGTGTGCCAGTCACGACTCTTTTTCCTCTAGACCAGTTGATTGTGATTAACTCTTACATGTGTGGTGGCGACGAGGATGACAAGCACGCGCGTGGGCGGGAGATTGACGACTTTGACGACTCGGGCGTGTCGGGCTTCAGCGAGGACGAGGATGACGACGATAGAGCACGTGCGTAGGTGATTGGATTGTTACATGTTGATGATCAGAGTGTGTGAGTCAGTTGATTGTGATTGGTTTCCTCTCTCTAGACCAGTTGATTGTGATTGGTTTCCTCTCTCTAGACCAGTTGATTGTGATTGGTTCCCTCTCTCTAGACCATTTGATTGTGTGCACGCCGCGATCAACGCTCGTGTGTCCTGTTGCTGCGATGATGACAAGCATGTGCGTCGGAGCTATCCTTTTTCCTCGCGATGATGACAAGCGAAGCGAGTGTGTCGGAAGTATTTTTTTTTCCCGCGTGTCGACGAGGTCTTCCCCTCGCGCCTGTGTGCACTCGGCAACCAGATTGATGATGAGTCACATCACAAGGCCCCTCCATTTTTTTTGCTTCCTGTTTCTCATCCGTCTTCCTCGTGTGCCTCTGTCTAGCTCTTCCCCTCCCCTGTGCGCGTGCCTGTGTGTGTGTGTGTGTGTGTGTGTGTGTGTGTGTACAGTGGGCGATCAGATCGTGTGTGAGTAACAATCTGGTGGTGGTTTCGTTTTCAGGGCTGCTTTTCATCCGTCTTCCTTGTGTGCCTCTGCCCATCCCCCCCTCCCCTCCCGTGTGTGTGCGTGCCTCTGTGTGTGTGTGTGTGTGTGTGTGTGTGTGTGTGTGTGTGTGTGTGTGTGTGTGTGTGTGTGTGTGTGTGTGTGTGTGTGTGTGTGTGTGTGTGTGTTTGTGTGTGCAGTGGGCGATCAGATTGTGAGCGAGTATCACTTTGGTGGTGGCTTCGTTCCCAAGGCCAAGTCGGCCACAGACGCACATGTGAGCCTCTTCACTCGCCCTCTCGCCCTCTTCCCCACTCGCCCACTTGCCTTCTCGCCCACTCGCCCTCTTCCTCTCCCTTGTACCTGTTCCCCACTCTCTACCTGTTCTTTCCCCCCTCGCCCCCGCCCCCCCCCCCCCTCTCTCACTCTCACTCTCTCCCTTTCTCACTCACTCACTCACTAACTCACTCACTCACTTGGTGTGAATGACTATCGTGTGTCCCGCCATGGCTGATTGTCCTGTTCCATTGCTCAACTTCGTGCCTTCCCCATTCTCAGCTTGACGTAGAGGCAGAGGAGGAGGGAGGCGAGGAGCGACAGAAGACGAAGCGGGAGGTGATGGAGGAGGTGATGGCGAAGAGCAAGCTGTTCAAGGCGAAGCGGCAGGCGGAGAAGGAGAAGAAGAAATCCACTGTTTCATCTCACTCAACCCAACCCAATTCCTTCGTTTGCCCTTTTTTTTGTTCCGCATGGCCAGCTTGACGCGGCGACAGGGCAGGAGGAGGGAGGCGAGGAGCGACAGAAGACGAAGAGGGAGGTGATGGAGGAGGTGATGGCGAAGAGCAAGCTGTTCAAGGCGAAGCGGCAGGCGGAGAAGGAGGAGGACGAGCACCTGCGCGAGCAGCTCGACGCGGAATTCCGCCAGATCGCACAGTCTGACGCGCTGCTCGCGCTCACGCGCGCGCCCAAAGGGGGAAAGGGCGGAAAGGGCGCCAAGGGGGAGGAGAAGGCGGGAGGGGGAGGCGGGGAGGGAGGGGCGGCGGGAGGAGTGTCTGCTGCTGCGTCTGCTGGTGGCGCTGCTGGTGCTGCAAAGGCGGCTGCTGGTGGCTCGCTGCTGGCTGCTGACGTGCGAATGCCATCACCGTTGCTGCTGCTGTTCCTGTTGCTGCTGTTGCTGCTTCTTCTGTCCCCCACCCTCACTCTCATCTACGTGTTCTCTCGTTGCCCACCTTTGTGAATTTTACTTTGAGAATTCTCAAAAGTAAAATTCACACTTCTGTCCCCCACCCTCACTCTCATCCGCGTGTTCTCTCGTTGCCCGCCTTCCTTGTCCTTACACCCTCTCTCTCCTCCACGTGTTCAAACCCACTTTCCTTGTCCTCCAAACTCACTCTCTCCTGCAACCTCACTGATTGGTGAAAGAGATGGAGGGCAGGCAGTGTAACCTGCAACCTCTCCTGCACCCTTTTTTCCCTCCTCCCTCTCCCTCCGCCACCCGCTCACTACCCACCTTCTCCCATGATCGGCAGGAGATGGACGACAAGCAGTACGACGTGTTGGCGCGGGAGATGGTGGTTGTCTCGCCTCTCTCTCTTCCACCCGCCTTTTATTCTCCTCCCCCCTTTCCCCCACGCTTGTCCATTGTCACCAGGAGATGGACGACAAGCAGTACGACGTGCTGGCGCGGGAGATGGTGTTTGACATCCGCGCCAAGCCCGGGGAACGCACCAAGACAGCAGAGGAAGCGGCAGAGGCGGAGAGGGCGCGTCTGGTGAAGCTCGAGGTAAGATTGGTAGAGACAGCAGGCTTGTTTCTGGGGAGATGGTGTTTGACATCCGCGCCAAGCCCGGGGAACGCACCAAGACAGCGGAGGAGGCGGCGGAGGCGGAGAGGGGGCGACTGGTGAAGCTCGAGGTGAGATTTTATCTTATGTGGTCAGATATTGCTTTTTCTCTGAAGGCCTTTGGAGTTTACTTGAAAATTACGACTTGTTTGTTCCCTGGTGTGATCTGTTTGCCTTCCATCCTCATGCCTAGTTTCTTGTGTCGACTCCCAAGCTCAACCTCTTTGTTTCCTTGTGTGCGTTAATCGCCCTCCCTTCTCCTCACGCCTTATACGCAGGCTGCAAGGGAGAGGTGTATGGATGGGGAACCCAGTGACGACGACGATTTTTTTGTGGACTCAATTGCTGTGTGTGCGGTGGTTACACTCTTCCCCCCCTGCCTTGTGTGCAGGCTGCAAGGAAGAGGCGTATGATTGGGGAGCCCAGTGACGACGAGGAGGAGGGAGAGGAAGGGGAGGAGGGGTCTAGTGAGGAGGAAGGCGGGAAGGGGAGGAAGAGGCGGCAGAGGAAGAAGGTCAAACGGGAGATCTCTGGGGACGATTTAGGGGAGAATTTCGTGTTGGAGGAAGATGAGGAGGACGAGGAGGAGAAGAAGGGGTGGGTTTATGATGTGTTGGGTCAGAAGGGGGAGGAGAGCGAGGATGAGAGTGGGAGTGAGGGGGAAGAGGAGGAGGAGGATGAAGAGGAGGATGGGGCAGAGAATCTAGCTGACGTGGATTGGGAGCAGAGTGATGAGGAGATTGGAGGGGAGAGGGTGAAGGGGAAGCGAGGGTCTGTGAGGGATGTGAAGCAGGATGAGGAGGAGAGCGAGGAGGAGGAAGGAGAGGAGAAAGAGGAGGGAGAGGAGAGTGATGAGGAGGAGGAAGCGGAGGAAGAGAAGGAGGGGGAGAAGCAGAATACGGAAGAGAGAAATGCAGCAGCAGCAGCAACAGAAGAGCAGGAGGATGAGGAGGAGGAAGATGAGGAGGAGGACGAGGAGGAAGAAGAGGAGGAGAATGAGCGCATAGAGAAGGTGTTTCGACGGCGCGAGCTGCCATACGTGATAGAAGCACCACAGCAGCTGAAGGACCTGCAGCGGCTGCTAGAGGGGCGCGCAGCAGCAGAGGTTGGCGTGGCAATCGCACGCATCCGCGCGTGCAACGCGGCGCACCTGTCCCCAGACAACAAGCGCAAGATGCAGATCTTCTATAACGTTCTCCTGCAGTACTTCGCGTCGCTGGCTAGTGATAGTGGTGGCGGTGGTGTGTCTCAGCGGGTGGAGGAGGAGGAGGATCAGCCGGGGAAGAAGCAGAAGCAACAGCACGAGCAGCAGCAGAAACAGCAAGGGAGCAGGCAGCAGGTGAAGCCGCAAGGGGGGAGGAAGGTGGAGGAGGGGAAACAGGAAGGTAAAGAGGTGGAGGAGGAGGAAGAGGCGACGAGTGAGTTGCAGAAGAGGGCGCCGTCAGTGGCAGCGGCGCACATCAATGCGTTGGTGCAGCCTCTCGTGGAGCTCTCCGCGTCCTTCCCTCTCTTTGCTGCCGTCTGCGCCCGCGAGCGGCTTGCCCGCATGCAGAAACGCCTCGTGGCGCGCCTCAAGGCCGGAGGTACGGTGCGGTATGGTGCGGTACGGTGTGGTGCTGTGCGGTACGGTGCGGTACGGTACTGAATGGGTTGGGGGCCCGTGTGCAGCCGCTTGTGGAGCTCTCCGCGTCCTTCTCTCTCTTTGCTGCCGTCTGCGCCCGCGAGCGGCTCGCCCGCATGCAGAAACGCCTCGTGGCGCGCCTCAAAGCCGGAGGTACGATGGGATACAGTGCGGTACGGTGTGGTACGGAACTGTACAGTAGGTACAGCACATGTCGCTGCTGCTAAGCAGTACCTTGGTTCGGTTCCCCTTTATCCCCTCGCAAGTGTTCCGAACCCGCTGTATTCCTCTCCCGTATCTCAGAGCCGGCACGGCTTGTTTGAGACGTCTCAAAAGATTGAAGAAGTGTTTTGAGACGTCTCAAAACACTTCTTCAATCACGTGGTTCCCCTTTATCCCCTCACAAGTGTTCCGAGCCCCCTGTATTCCTCTCCCGTATCTCAGAGCCAGCACGGCCCACGACACACTCGCTGCTGCTCCTTTGTCTCTGGGCGCTCATCTTCCCCCCTCCGACTTCCGCCACCCCGTCATGACGCCCTGTAATGCCCTTCCCTGTCCATTCCCTCCCCTCCCCACTCCGTCCTCCCTTTTGTTCCTCTCCTCTCAGAGCCAGCATGGCCCACGGCGCGCACACTCCTCCTGCTCCGTCTGTGGGCGCTCATATTCCCCTCCTCTGACTTCCGACATCCAGTCATGACGCCCGTCTCGCTGCTGCTCGGCCAGTTCCTCTCCTGCTGCCCTGTGCGCTCCACCAAGGACGTGGCAGCTGGCCTCTTTATATCCGCTCTCCTCCTTAATGTGAGTCTCACTGTTGCTGCCAATTTACTCCCCGCTACTGCCATTTGAAAACCCCTGCTGCTCCCCTAACTGCCGCTTTTGCTGTCGTCAATCATCCCCACTGCCCCTACATCTCATCCCCACTGACTCACCGTCACTAGCTACCTCCCCTCTCCTCCCCCTCACTTCGTTCCAGATGGTGTCTCAGAGTCGTCGCTTTGTCCCAGAGGCGCTTAACTTTCTGCACGCGCTGCTGTGGAGCGCTGTTGCCCCCGCCCTCAAACCCGTCAAGCCCAAGGTATGGCCTTTCCTCCTCCCGTGATCACACATCACATCACATCACATCACATCACATCACATCACATCACATCACATCACATCACACAGTTTTGAGTCAACTCGAAATCTATATTGCACGCACTGCTGTGAAGCGCTGTTGCCCCTGCGCACAAACCTCGTCAAGCCCAAGGTATGCTTCTCCTCCCTTTCCTTCTACCCAACGTCCTCCCGCCCTTCCTCCCTTTCCTCCTCCTTTCGTGATTAGTTTGCATCATTGTTTCGGCCCCCGTTTCTCGTTTCCTCCTCTCCATCTCGTCCCACCCCCACTTGCAGGGAGTGCCGCGGTACATGCTGCTGCAGGTGTGCTCGCAGCAGTGGCTGTGGGCGCCGTGTGGCGATGGCAGCAACCACCGCAAGCGCAAGCGCGAGCCGCTAGAAGACAAACCCGAGGCCCTTCCCTCACTGCCCTTGCTGCCCCTGCTGCCCCTGCTGCTACTGCCACCACTGCTAACCCCTCAAACCCATCTTCCCTCCCCCTCCCTCCCCCTTCCCCCCATCCCCCAGGGAGTGCCGCGCTACATGCTGCTGCAGGTGTGCTCGCAGCAGTGGCCGTGGGCGCCGTGTGGCGACGGCAGCAACCCTCTCTGTTCCCCATATTCCTCCTCCCCTCCCCCTCCCCTCCCCCTCCCCTCCCCCCAGGGAGTGCCGCGCTATATGCTGCTGCAGGTGTGCTCGCAGCAGTGGCTGTGGGCGCCGTGTGGCGACGGCAGCAACCACCGCAAGCGCAAGCGCGAGCCGCTAGAAGACAAACCCGAGGCCCTCGACTTTGACCGCATCTTCCTGGGACCTTCCTGCCCGTCCAGCACTTCCGGCACCACTGAAACTACCACCAGCACCACTGCTAACCCTTTTGTTTCCAAGGCTTCGCCCTCCGCTTCTCCTGCTGCTCCTCCCACCCTGCTGGGTGTGGAGGGCAGTGCAGCAGGGACCGTGGCAGAGGCCTACTTTGGCTCCGACGTCTTCAGGTAGGTTCAGGTGGTTTCAGGTAGGTTCAGGTGGTTTCCGGTAGGTTCAGGTGGTTTCAGGTTTTTTCCACGGTGGCTTCTGGTAGGTTCAGGTGATCTCATGTAGTTCTGGTGGTTTCAGGTTATGACTCAGGTTCAGGTGGCTCGCTCCTTGGCGCTCCTCTACCGCCCCATGTGCTGCTACTGGTGCTTGTCCCCACTACACCCGCCCACTTCTCCCCCCACCTCTTCCCCTATCTCCCCCTAACCTCCCCCACACACAACTCCAGGCTGAGTCTGCTGCTGGCAGTGCTCAAGACGCTGCGCTCCTTTGCGCTGCTCTACCGCCCCATGCAGCCCTTCCCCGAGATCTTCCAGTCTAGGGCAGTAGGCAGTTACTGTAGGGAATGGAGCAGAGGCTGCAACGCACTTCTTCTCCCCACGCCACAACCCGTTTCCTTTGCTCCTGTGTTTCCTCCTTCCCATTCCCCCCCCCCCCCCCCTCTCCCCAACACCATCCCCAACCACCCCCAGGCTGAGTCTGCTGCTGGCAGTGCTCAAGACGCTGCGCTCCTTTGCGCTGCTCTACCGACCCATGCAGCCCTTCCCCGAGATCTTCGCGCCCTTCCTGCCCACCCTCGCCCCCCCCCCCCCCCCTCTTTTGGAGTCCGAAGCACTTAGCAGTTACCGGAGGCGATGGGGCAGGGGCCACTACCAGACGCTTTCCCTCCCTCCACGCCCCTAAACCACTTCCTTCGCTCCTGCGTTTCCTCTTTCCCATTTTCTTTCTGGACTCCTGTCCCTCCCATATGCAGGCTAAGTCTGCTGCTGGCAGTGCTCAAGACGCTGCGCTCCTTTGCGCTGCTCTACCGCCCCATGCAGCCCTTCCCCGAGATCTTGGAGTCTAAGGCAGTTGGCAGTTACTGTAGGGGATGGAGCAGAGGCTGCAAGGCGCTTTCCCTCCACGCCCCACAACCCATTTCCTTTGCTCCTGTGTTTCCCCCTTCCCATTTCCCTCCCCCCCCCCCCTCCCCCCTCCCCCCTTTTCCCCAACACCCGTCCCTTCCTCACCCAGGCTGAGTCTGCTGCTGGCAGTGCTCAAGACGCTGCGCTCCTTTGCGCTGCTCTACCGCCCCATGCAGCCCTTCCCCGAGATTTTCGCGCCCTTCCTGCCCACTCTCGCTGCCCTTGCGGAGTCCGGGCAGCTGCCCGAAGAAATCGAGCAGGAGCGGGCAGCGTGGGTGAAGGATATCGAGGGGGCGGTGGCGGAGGTGGAAGGTTCCAGGCAACCGCTGCGGCTGAGGGTGAAGCGAGCGGTACCTGAGAAGCAGTTCAACCCCAAGTTCGAGTCTGAGTACGTTTTAAGATATGGGGGATAAGGGAGCGTTTATACGAAGTGGTAAACCGGGAATAGGGGACTGAGGGTAAAGCGAGCGGTACCTGCGAAGCAGTTCAACCCCAAGTTCGAGTCTGAGTACGTGTTGAGAATGATGCACTGTGGTTTGAGTAGGTGCAGAGACGAGATGGATTGAATGAGAGGTGGAACGATATGGTAAGCTGGAGGCTTGTAGGCTGAGGGTGAAAGGGGCCGTGCCGGTGAAGCAGTCCAACCCCAAGTTTGAATCTGAGTACGAGCACGTTCAATCCTCCACATGTCTGCATGTTCTTTGAGAATGATGGACATAATGAGAATGATATCGAGGGACAACATGTTCCTTGCGGCTTTTAAGGCGCCTCAAAAGTTGAATCTGAGTACGAGCACGTTCAATCCCCGTGTAATAAGAATGATATCGAGAGACAACAAGTTCCTTGCATGCGAGTGCACGTGCACACGAACGAAGCTGCTGCAGCTGCTGCTGCTGCTTCCAGTGAAGCACTGCTGCGTTACAAGGCTCTCCTCCTCATTAACACCCCTTACTCTTGGCCTCTCCTCCCTCTGCCTCCCTTCCCTCCTCCCTCGCATTCACACTTTCCTCCTCCTCCCCCCCCTCCCCATTCCCCCTCTCTTCTCTTCCTCCCCCCCGCCTCGTCCGCCCTTCCCATCCTTCCAGTTTCGCGTGCGGCAAGGAATAGAATCTAACAGAGACCGGGCAGGCTGACCATTTCCCTCCCTGCTCCTCTGTTTCTTTCCCGCCCCACCCTCCCCTCTCCACCTCCTTTTCCTTCTACAGTTTCGCGCGAGGCAAGGACTACGACCCCAACAGGGAGCGCGCGGAGCAGCACAAGTTGACCATTCCCTTTCCCCTCGCTTCCCCTCTTCCACCTCCCCCTCCCCCTACCTACTCCAGTTTCGCGCGAGGCAAGGACTACGACCCCAACAGGGAGCGGGCACATTCCCCTCCCTCCTCCCCTGTTTCTTTCTCGCCCCTTTCTCCCCTCCTCCTCCCCTCACCTACTCCAGTTTCGCACGAGGCAAGGACTACGACCCCAACAGGGAGCGAGCGGATCAGGAGCGGCTGCAGCGGGCGATCAAGAGGGAAGCACGAGGAGCAGCAAGAGAGCTGCGCAAGGACAACCAGTTCCTTGCTGCTGCGCGCGCCAATGAGGCTGCTGCTGCTGCTCCAGTGGATGCTGGCGCCTGCCCTCCTCATTAACACTCCTCTCTCGCTTTCTCTTCCCTTCGCCTCCCCTCCCTCTTCCCCCGCCTTCCCCTTCCCCCTTCCCCCCTCCTCCTCCCCCCCTGCAGTTTCGCCCGGGGCAAGGACTACGACCCCAACAGGGAGCGAGCGGAGCAGCGGCGGCTGCAGCGGGCGATCAAGCGCGAAGCACGGGGGGCAGCAAGGGAGCTGCGCAAGGACAACCAGTTCCTCGCTGCTGCGCGCGCCAATGAGGCTGCGAATGCTCTGGAGGAGCGGCGGGAGAAGAACCAGCGGGCCATGGCGTTTATGGAGCAGCAGGCGCACCTCATGTGGTCGGGGCAGCTGGGAAGGAAGAGGGGCGGCATGAGCAGCGGGAAGGGCAGGCGGTAGGAGGCAAAAAGTGAAGGGAAGTCAGGGAAAGGGATTCGAGGGAAGCAGCTGCTGCTGAGGGGGGGCGGCGGGAGAAGAACCAGCAGGCCATGGCGTTCATGGAGCAGCAGGCGCACCTCATGTGGTCGGGGCAGCTGGGGAGGAAGAGGGGTGGCATGAGCAGCGGGAAGGGCAGAAGGTAGACGTAAAGTTGAGGCTTTAAGGGGGCAGGTGGAGAGGCAAAGACGATTTCTGGCTTGACTAAAAAATTGCCTTGTTACACGCAGCGGCAGGGTCAGAAGGTAGAAGGGAAGACAAGGTTCCAAGGGGTAAGGTGGGGAGGCAGCGAAGGGGATCTGAGGGCAGCAGTTGCTCTGGCAGCAGAGGAGGTGGTCAGCTGTTGAGGCGACTCAAATGTCACCTGTCTAGGACGGAAGGCGAGGTGCCAAGAGCTACAATGTGACAGAGGCTAAGAGTGGGGATTCAAGGACTGCTGCTGCTCCAGAGTGCGAAGAAGGCTGTGGGAGGTGAAGGAGAATGAGGTGTGGAGGGAATGGGAGTGTGTGTGGGAAGTGGTGTGACTGGGCATGTGAAGCTGATGCGAAGCTGACAATTTGACTTGTGCATGTGTGCACTGGAGCTAACTTTTTTGGCGTGTGATTATTGATGAGCAGACGCAGCAGGGTGTGTGTTGGTGGATTGCCAATGCCTTGTGCATGCCAGTGCATGAGTGGCATGCCAGTGCATGGGTGCCATGTCCCGGAAAGTGGGTGTGTCTGCATGTATGTATGTATGCACACGTGTGCAAGTGCTTGGTCATGTGTGTGAATGTGTCTGTGTGCTTGTTTGTCTGACTCCGGTCACCCAAAAGAAATAAAAAGGAAAAAAAAAAAGAAAAAAAAAACTGGGGGCTGAAACACTAACTTTTTGGCATTGCTGTGTGTTTTGAAATGAAGAGAGGCTGTGGCGGGTGATGGTGGATGACCGAGTGGAGACAGCAGAGGCAGTGCGGAGGGACTGGTGCAAGCCACGACAGTCTATGAGGCTTTTGAAAAAAGACTTCAGCCTCAAATAGAGGCTGACTGCGGGTGGTGATGGCGGATGGCTGGGTGGATTAATTTGCGGAGACAGTGGGGAGGTGTGCAGGGACTGGTGCAGGCAGGGAGGGGCGGTGGAGGCAGCGTGCAGCAGAGGAATGTCTGAGCAGGAAGGAGCATCTATAGCATGTCCGTGGAGGGAGTGTGGATTGTGGAGGGAGTTTGGATTGTGGAGGGATTTGAAGTGGCGGCATGGAGGGCATTGCAGCGAGCGAGAGCGGGTTTTAGGAGCAGCTTGGACCGACAAGGGACCGGACCTGCAATGGAACACCATGTCTGTGCAGAGTGGTCAGTGCAAGGGCTAAGGAAAGACACGTGGATGTTACATTTTCCCTTGAGTGGGGACGGGAGGGCAGGGGGTTGGGTGGTGTGGCGTGAAATGGCATGGAGTGGCTCAACTTAGTTGTTGCCGTATTAGACAGCATGCATGCACTGTGTCACTGTGCTGATGCAGGTGTCTGGCTGTGTGCAATGACAGCCTGCCTGCTCCTGCTGCTGCAGGTTCCTGCCTTTTTTGGTTTTGTTGTTTTCTGATGAGGTCACGCAGTGATTGCATGTGGTACCTGCTGCTGTGGCTGGGAGTTGTGTCTTGGGCATTTTGTTCTGTCTATGAAGCTGTGACCAAATTGTTCTGCTGCTGCTGCTGCCGCTGCTGCTGCTGGGTGTGTATACACCTTGGTGAGTGAATACACCCAGCAGCTCGCTGTATTTCTTGCTCAGACTGCATGCATGCTACTTTGTGTTAGTTCCATACTGAACATTTACTCCTTACTAGCAATTGTGTATTTACTCACCGAAACCACTGGTAGCATGACAAATGTTAAGTGCTATCCAGCTATATGGTACGAAATCGCGACTCGTCCCTCGAGCATCCATCTGTTAATTCCTCGGTCCAACAGCGCGTATGTTTGGGAGGTCCAATCTTTTCTCCACCGACCTGTGTTCCAGTGCGCAGGTACAAAGGCACAGAGAATCACATGCGAGTACAGTACACAAGATGCTCAGCCCCTGCGCGCGAATTTGCTCTGCCCAAAATTAAAAGTCTGCATCTGTGTTTCTTTTACGAGACAGTTAAACCCACATTACAATCCCCTCCAGCTAGTTGCAGTAGTTATGAGACCGAAGTCAAAATGTCAACGTGGAGTTATAATTATTTTATAAGCCCCTTGCTAGGTACGACGTTGACGAAATCAGCGAATTGTTTGGAACCATTAAGAGCTTTCTTTACAAGGCAACCTTGGGTTAGTCAAACGAGCGTCGTGTGTACACTGAACCAGTCGTCGCACTCTTTCGTGCGAGGCGGAGACGCGACGTTGACCAGGTCCACGATTTGCCATTCAGTGGGTCAGCTGAAACTGGTTGAATATCTACTTCCTCTGAACAGCTGTACTGAACCGTCACTACACCTGCCAACCGTAGCATCTTTTCTCCACCTCTAGTGAAATTTCTGGGCCATACTGTAACAAACTTATCCATGGATGCGATGCGAGGATATCACCCCTCAGCTTTCCTTGCACTTTCCATCACCCCCACATTCCCGAGCCTACAGTATATGCTCTTGCACCTGCCGAACAAGGCCAACTCCTTCCCCAATCCATCCCCCATCCACCCCGTGGCAGTTGCGTTGAAACCGAATCTGCGCTCGCGACCCCCGCAAGCCTTTCCCTCTTCCTCCCCTCCCCGCCTCCCCCCCCTCAACTTTTGCCGTTGTTCCGCCTTCCCCCGGTCAATGATATCTTCCCCTCCCCTTCCCTGCAATTCAAGGTTTCTCCGATTTTCTTTCGCACCGTAGCAACTGCCGCCCCTGCCACTGACCCGTCCTCCGCGTCGCGTGACTCGCATAGCGCTCACGCTTCGGGGGGGACAATGTTGCGCGCAGCAAGTTGCAGAAACCCAGTTGTTGGGCAGAAACGCGCGCATTGGTAGAAAACGCATTTTTCTTAAATATATTGAGCTGAATTGCTCCGACTTTGCCACGTGTGCTCTTTACTTTATTGAACGGACCGCCTTTCCCCCTGGTCCCCCAACACGATTTTCCCGCCCTTCCCCTCCGAAATCTGGGCACCCGCTGATATTCTGTGGAATCGCAAACAGTCATGAATACATTCTTTTTCGTAACGCTACGATTTTCAACATGCCAGCGATATCTGATTGGACAGAATACTTGTGATTTTCTTCCCGCGCCAAAATCTGATACATCCAGAAACTAGTAATATTTTGAGCATAACAACTAAATGAAATATGAATTTCCGTAAAGTTTTTAGCAGTAATATGGAATTGATTGATTATATGCCACTGCAGTAACATATGTTCTATATTAATTGAAAATACACGTTAATAATATCAATTAGTGAAACCTAACAAAATGTCTACCAAATTCAAAACGGGTTGATTTTGATTTGCCCTAAATTGATTCCAAATGTAAATTAATGAAACTCGACTCTAGATATTTTATGGTTTGAAAACATAAAATAGACTATAAATATAGAAAATATAGAAATATAGAAGAATATACGTTATTTCTCATATATTTTCTTGCACCCCTATCTACATTAATGGCATGGGCTTATCAAAAAAAGCCCATGCCATTAAAGCTCGCGGCCCAAATTGCGGGCCGCGCAGGGCAACCTTAGTAAGGTTGATCGACAGTTGTTTTGCAGGTACTGGTTTTGCGAATTGAGGTTACGAGTTGTACGAAGGAAGCTGATTGCTAGTCAGTTTGAAACTTTGAGCTGATTGGCTAGCAAAATTGAAACAGTGTTTGCGGAGCGGGTTGGGTGGGAAACTGGCAAGGATAGTATTTGGGGAAAAGATTATACAGGGGCCGAACACTGCCAGATGGGTAATAAACCAGGAGCCGAGAGGCCCGGAAGTTTCCAAACCGCTTCGCGAGGAAGGATTAACATAGGGTCTTCATTTATTGGACGTAATTCTGTTACTAGTAACATGTACCGGCTCGCATTTTCGCTCGCGTGTCGTTTAGTGAACCGACTCTACCGGAAACTCTAGGGCAGCAAATAAAACCTCGATGGAATTTTGGGATGGCTCAACCTTAACAAAGGGGACCTTCCTGCTATTTAGGGTTGATCCTTCCCGAGTCGCATCCGTTTCCGAATGGGTAATATATTTTTCTTGTGGTTTCCGATCGAGTAGGTGATATGTATCACCCCCAATATATATTATGTTGTTATGTAATCGCGATTCGATACGCCAAATTCAATTCTAGAATAAGGCGACGCGCGCGCTGTTGTAGACGGCGACCAGAACCCTCAATAAATAATACGCACACAAAATTTGGTTTGTTTTAGCAATTTTCTTTGACTCATGGTTCGGCTCGATCGTCAAGTCGTTTGGTCAGCTCCGGGTTGAAATTCTACGGTCGAGATTTTCTGGCCCTACTTCGATCACCCCCTGGCACTGTTCAGCCCCAATATGATCTCTTCCCGGGTATTTGTGCAATATGGGACTCATGCAACCAAACGTGAAGTGGCCCTTGTGGTTTGCTGAGTCAGCGAAATGCCTTTGAGATTGGCGAGAAGCTGGGCGAAACCAAAGCCCACAACCCACCCAACACCTCGACTTTCCCACCCTGCTCCCTCACCTCCCAACATGCAACTTTAGTAAAATTGTACAATTTGGGCCGTGAGCTTTAATCAACATGCATAGGAGCCTCTTGAGATTGAGGAGCAACTGCCGAAATTATTGCGAACGCTAATCTGGCATGCCACAACTACATGGATGATTTGGCATGATGTGGCGAGCATGTATTCATGACTGTTTGTGATTCCATAAAATTTCAGCGGGTGCCAGGATCTCGGAGGGAAGGGCGGAAAATCGTGTTGGGGGGGCGGGGGGAAAGGCGGTCCATCCATTTAAGAAAAGTGCACACTTCTGAGATCGGAGCAATTTAGGTCGATTTAACTGAGAGAAGCGCGATTTCCGCCGATGCGCGCGATCTCGCCCAGTTGTTGACAGCGCCAATCAGCGAGTGTGGGATGGGAAAGCAGTTCATCCCCCTCTTCCCCCTTCCCTACCTTCCCTTCCGAACCCAACCCACCACCCCGCAAAACCCGAGACAAAGCACCAGCTGCTCCCTCCCGCGCAGCCTCGATTTCGCAATTTCCCCCGGCGACCATTCCCCGACTACCTTCCCCTCGACGACCTTCCCCCCAACGACCATTCCCTGCAAATCCTTTGCATCCAATATCCACCGTATCTCTTCCCATCGCATCTCATCCTAACCCAACCCATCCTATCCCAACCAAACCAGCCCCAATCTCTCTCGTTCTCGTCCATTCATCGGCCCTCCCTCGCACATCAGAAACCACTGCGGTCTGACTTTTTCGTGTGCTCCAGCTGCGTTTCTCGTTACAGTACAAATTGCAACACTTCATTGGCAGCACGCCTGCCACAGCCAAAAAAACCACTAATTCGTCCGACCGAATCCCCTTGCACACACGAACCCAGTCGACTCTCTTCCTCCACGCCTCATTCTCTTCCAATGTACGGCTTTTTTCCACAAACAACCTGCCGACAGTCGTCTTCTCTCAGCAATAGGCCATCCTCTAGTCTGTAACGTGGAGTCAGCTCGGCCCCCACAGTGTAACGTCGAGGCGTCGCTTCGGACCCATTCCTCCTTGTGTAGATTTCAGAAGTGACTCCAGCACTGGTAGCGGTCGTCAGCTGTGCCTCCGCCCCTCCCCCCTAGTCCAGGTGTATTTCGAGCCGACTCAGACTACGTCATCAGGCCCCCAGTGTGTAACGCAGCGGCGTTATTTCAGACCATTTCTTCCTCGCGCTGGTATCAGATGTCGGCCATGCTTTCTCCCCGGTCCGATCGTTTCTCATCCGCTCGTTTTCCGGGGTCGCTTTGCCTCCTCCCACAAGGCTTGCGCTTTTTGAAGTAAATATAATGCTTTACCTGCCGGAACCGTGACACTCGGATTGCAGCTTCGGCCGACGTGCGGTGCGGGTATCATAGGAAGTCACACGCGCTCTATGCAGCTATAGCAAGCTTCAATTTCTGACACGCGCGTTTCAGAAGTCACCCGTAAACGAAAGGCGAAAAAACACATGCAATTTGCGACAGCAATGGGCTCCGAAATCCTCGCCAGTCGTTCGCAACGAATCGGAGTCGACTTTCCTCTCGAAGTCGATTTCAGAACCGCACCGCGGCGGCATAGTAGCAGTATGAGAGAATCTGCCCAAACCAGTGACGTCATGGCAGTGGCCTGTACCAGCGACACCATGTCCTCCCAAGTCCTCGCCGCTAGTAGCAGTGATCCATGTTCGAGTCGTAGTTTTGGGAGTTTAAGTCGGCCAGTGTTCGATTTCCCGCGCGCCGCGACCACCCGTTGCCACGTCAGCATGCTTCTCGACCAGTTGGAGGAGCGATGCCACCTCGCGGCGCAAACGCGGCAGCGGTACTACCGAAGCTCGAGTTGCACCCGCGGCGCGCCGCCGAGCCAGCAGATCCAACCGTATCACTACCCGCCGAGCTGGAGGGATCCGTGGCTCGTCGGCAGCTTCGGGCCGAGGCTGGAGGCTCGGTTTGAGGTCGGGGAGGAGCTGGGGCGCGGGCATTTCGGCGTGGTGCGCGTGTGCCAGGAGCGGGGCAGCGGGGCGACGTTCGCTTGCAAGACAATCAGCAAGGAGCTGCTTCAGGTACGGCTAACTATCAGTCTCCCCGGCTATCAGTCTCCCTTGTATTCTCCCATGTGTTCCCTGTATCATTCTCACCCTCCCTGCCATCATTCACCCTTGATGTTGTCCTTGCGCCCTGATCCTATGACTTTGATCTCTCCCTCGTGCTTGCTCTCTGACGCTGTCGATTCCCGTTTGCTCCTCCTTGCCTCTCCTTGTGTCGTGCTATCCATTCTCACGCTCCCTGCTATGATCATTCACCCTGATGTTGTCGTCTCGTCCTGCTTCTTACGACTTTGATCCCTGTTCCTGCCTGCTCCTCGTTCCCTCGTGCTGCTCTGTTTTCTCAGGGCTCGCGGGCGATTGAGGAGCTGCGCGCCGAGGCGCTGCCGTTTCTGACAGATATTCCCAACGCTTACGCGTCCCAACCCAAATCACGTCTTGAAACTAAGTTCGGATGCTCCTCCTTGCATCCTCCTTGCCTCGTGCTGTGCTGTGCTGTGCTCTCAGGGCTCGCGGGAGATGGAGGAGCTGCGCGCCGAGGCATTGACGCCGCTGCTGCTGCAGCAGATGGCGGAAGAGGAGGAAGAGGAGAGAGCAAGAGAAGGGGACGAGGAGGAAGCAGTCAACCCAGTCAACCCAGTCAACAGCACCAGCACAGAGAGGTCCCCCTGGGAGGGCCTGGTGCGTCTACATTCAGTCTACGAGGACAACTGGGGGGTGCACCTGGTCATGGACCACTGCAGCGGAGGAGACCTGTTTGACCTCGTTGACCGGTACGCTGAGTCAGCGGGCATGCCCGAACAGCTGGCGGCCGCTGTCGTGGGAAAGCTGGCTGCCACGCTGGCGTGGATGCACTCCGTGGGGGTGGTGCATCGGGACTTAAAGCCCGAGAACATCCTGCTGGCTCGGCCTTTCTCAGGGGACGCGAGCAGCTTTCCGAACCTCCACCTCTGCATCGCCGACTTTGGCCTGGCAAGGCGATTGGCGCCTGGGGAGCACCTGACAGGCTTGGTAGGGAGCCCTTTTTACTTGGCCCCTGAGGTCGTGAAAGGTCACCTGTATGACCACCAGGTGGATGTGTGGAGCCTCGGGATTATCCTCTACACCTGCCTTTCCGGGAAGCTTCCCTTCCATGGCCCAAACCACAACGCCGTGTTTGCTGCTGCGTGCCGGGCGGCGCCAGATCTGGTCTCGCCGGAGCTGTGGAGCGGGGTTTCTGCCGAGGCTAAGGATCTGGTTCGGGGGATGCTGGAGAAGGAACCTGGGAGGAGGATCAGGTCTGGTGAGATTCTTTCGCATCCTTGGTTTGACACGGTGGGGCGGAGGAGAAACTTGTTGAATGCTGAACTGAGGACAGAGGTACATGCTTTCGGGACTACCAGCAGCAGTAGTGTGGGTATTAGCAGCAGCACAGCTGGTTCGGAATCAAGAAGCAGAACAGCAGTACAAACAGCAGCATTTCGGCCAGCAGCACAGCCAGCAGCAGCAGCAGCAGCAGCAGCAGCAGAATGCCCCTTGTACAGTCCTGCAGCTCCCAGTGACGATCTCCCTTTGATCAACACAGAAGCGCAACGAGTCTCGTTCCTGCCGTGGACTGGCGTTGACTGCCATGGACTGCCGTGGAATGGCGTTGACTACAGCAGCACTGGTGCGAGTGGCTGTAGCACAGCAGGGAGCGTGACTGCAGCGAATGTGGCTGTGAAGAATTCGCCAATAGGAGGCATGAGCAGCCCGAGCATTCTCCAGTCCCAACCTTGGCAGTCAAGCCAATTGAGTCAGTTCCAGCCTGCATCAAGTCAACTGAGTCAACCCACTGCGTCACATCAATCCAGTCAGTCAAGTCAACCCAGTCAACCTAGTCAACAGGACCAGTATCCGTGTGCAGAAGACACTGCTACCCCTCACCTCACTACCACGCCCACTCCCGAAGCAACTGCCAACGCTTCAGCTGATCCCAACCACCTCACCACCCCTCCCCAAGATGATGCCACTTCTTCCCATTCCCCCACGCCCCCCCGACCCACACCCCCTCGCCCCCTCTCCATCTGTCCCCCTCCCCCCCCCTTCCCCTCGCACCCTTGCCACCTGTACTACCCCTACTCCCCGCACGCCCTCTCGCGCTCTCTCCGCCCGTCCACGCAAACCAACGAACCAATCACCACGCCCTGCCGCTCCTTCCCCTCCAGCACTCCCCCCCTCGCTGCTGACTCAGCTCCGGGCTGACAGGGTGGCAGATCTGATGCGGCTGTTTCAAGCCTGCCAGGCTGGCAGCTCAGATGATGTGGCAAGGTGTCAAGGCAGCAGGCTGTTGGTTTAGTGCAGTTGGAGCAAATTAAAAGCAAATAATCAATTATTAAGCTGGTTCACATCGTCCCAATGTGTAAGGAAAATTCCTTTTCCTTACTTCGCGTCCCCACTCAGCGCGTACACCACTGTAGCACCACAGTCAGCACCGTTACAACTTGCAACCATCGCATCGACAAATCCTCCCGCCACCTTTGTACGTCGCACCCCGACCTCACGGCTCGGCGGGTAACCCGCGCTCCGGGCCTCCGCTTCGACAATTCCCCAAGCCTCAGTCCCAGGCCCGTCGCACGACAACCACAGTTCATTACCAATACCACTACAGTTTCGCTATACCGTAATCCCCCGTGTATAAGACCCTAGGGAATTATGATAATCACCCCTAAAAAGGCTGGGGGGTATAATTAAATGGTATAATTTTTAGAAGACCCGGGTCTGTTCACATTGACATTTATAAGAATGCACGATGTTGTACATTTCAGTCTCGTATGTTCAATTGAATTGAACTTTTACAGCGTCCTGAATTAAAATCGCGCGAGGGCGTTTCCCTGACTGTGCACAGAGATTTGGCATGTCACTTTGCCCACGTGCCAGCTCATCCTGACTGGACGCGCAACAAGTGAAGCCTTCGAAAGTCTAGACTCATTTGAAATTCGAAATTCGTTTAAGCTCGCGGCCCAAATTGTACAACTTTACTAAAGTTGCATGTTGGGAGGTGAGGGAGCAGGGTTGGCTACTCGAGGTGTTGGGTGGGTTGAGGGCTTTGGTTTCGCCCAACTTCTCGCCAATCTCAAACACATTTCGCTGACTCAGTAGACCCCAGGGGCCACTTCGCGTTTGGTTGCATGAGTCCCATATTGCACAAAGTTTCCCACCCAACCCCCTCTGCAAACACTGTTTCAATTTTGCTAGCCAACCAGCTCAGTGTTTCAAATTGACTAGCCAATCAACTTCTTTCGTACAACCCGTAACCTCAATTCACAAAACCAGCACCTGCAAAACAACAATCAATCAACCTTACTAAGGTTGCCCAGCGCGGCCCGCAATTTGGGCCGCGAGCTTTAACATTTTCAATTGCATTTTTTTTTGTAAAATCCGCACTTCTCTGGTATGTGGAGGGTCTTATCATGTTAGGAGCCATTTAGGGGGTATAACTCAGATGTACTCGAATTGAGTACCCGGGTCCCCATTATAGGCCGGGGGTCTACAACTGGGGGAGGTTCTATATACGGGGGATTACGGTATATTCTTCGCTCATGCCTTCGCTCATGGTACTCTTGCTTCGATAGTGCAATTCTCGCTCACTCAATTGCACTCGTAACACTTGGTATTCAGAGCCTACGATCTCTTCTCGGACCGCAACCACACCTTCGCTTCCTCACTATCTCAATTTTTTGGGGGGGATGGGCGTCTCTCAGCGACACAGCACCGCCGCTTGTAGTGCTCTCTCGTAAGCACACGCACGGCCACGACAAAGGCTCTCGCTGAGCTCGCCCGACACCCCCGCCATGGCTGAATTCATGCTCGCAACATTGACGCAGGAGCAGCTTGACCGTCTGGTGCGCCAAGTGGAAGAATCGGCGCTCGAAATTGCGACGCTCACGGCGGAACGTGACTCCGCGCGTCAGCAATCCACGGTAACACTCCAGCGCCACCACACGCACCGACAAATGCATCTGCACAATCAGACGAGCCGATCGTCATTTCGTCCGGCGCACCAACACAACACGACAGCATGGGACAGCGCTCAGGCGCAGCCAGTGCTGGCGCCGCCCAGCCGATGCCTGGCATGGGAGGAAATAGGGTCGCACCAAGCCCGCGGGAGCCTCGTGAAGCTCGGCGTTACGTGGAGTTCGCGGCGACAAGTGGCGAATAGGCCATTATGGCACCAATGCCACTCAAGCCGCAACGTCCGCCCTGCTTCGACCCGAGCCAGCGTGGAGGTCCGACGGTTCAATTGTGGGTCTTCACAATGAACGTCTTCTTCAACGCGAATTACGTCGAGTCGGACGCAGCGAAGATCCGATATGCTGTTTCGCAACTGAGGGGCCCCGCCATGGACTGGTGGCGAGTCATCGTGACGTCGCCACGCGCCTACGAGCCACTGTCGCAAGAGGAAGGGCCCATGGGCCCAGCTGTTACCTGGAGTTCATTTTGCAAGACTGCCCAGTACAGCACGTGCGAGACCGCCCAGTACAGCCCAGGGCTTCGGGCGCGCTTTGAGCCAATCGCGGCTTCTATTTCGGCGCGTCAAGAACTGCGTACTTGGCGGCAGCTCGGGCTGGTTCAAGACTATACGAGTGGTTTTCTTGCATTATGCGAGCAGGTCGGCTACATGCACGAAGCGGAGCGGGTGGACCGTTACGTCGGAGGGCTAAAGCCAGACATGTCGCACGAGATCATGCTACGCGGGCTCTCGAACTTCAACGAGATTCTCGCGCTCGCCGAGAAAATCTACATCTTACGCCGTTCGAGACCGAGGTCCTACTACGGAAGTCGCCCTCGGGGACCGATCGAGCACGCCACCGTACATGCCGTTGCGACGAATGCAGCTGCCGCGCCGTTTAAGGGGCGCTGCTTTGCTTGCAATAGGCCGGGCCATCGCAAGAGTGAATGCCCATAGGAGCTGAGGCGCCGCGAAGCAGAGTAAGGGAGGGAGTCTCCGAGGTAGGGAAACGCCAGCAGTCAGTAGGAATCGGGCCAACTACTGACAAGACTGCACACTCGCCCAACCCCACCGACCCTCACCGAGTCACAGTACCGATTCATGCTATCAATCGGGCTCGGACGAATAAGGAGGGTACAGCGACGGATTGCCCAGTACTGATCCACGGGAAAATACACGGAGCAGCAGTGAAGATTTTTATCGACGGAGGAGCAAGTCACAGTTTAGTTAATACCGCAACCGCACGCAGATTGCAACTGACCACTAGCCGTTGTTTACCTGATATAGATGCGCGCTTAGTCGACGGCACGCCACTAGCCATACGGGAAAAGGTGGAGAGAGTCAAAGTCCGCTGCGGGGAAAGTTTCGGATTTAGACAGGAAATGCTCGCGACGACACGACATTTTACTGGGACGTGATTGGCTCCGACGGTATAACCCGCGAATTGACTGAACGACGGGTAGCTGCACTGTGCGAAGTAGCGGTAACTGGGTTGGGCTACCTCGCTGGCAGTCGTCCGAGCCTTCAACGGTACACGTCAACGCCATCACCATGAAACGGGCTGCCGCTGCAGGAGCTGACGTGTACGTGTCAGACTTATATGATCTAGCCTGTGTAGGCTGTAGCGGGTTAGATACTAAGGGGTACACAATTCTAGGGTTTCATATTTGTATCACACTCATTCCTTAGTCAATCATTCCTCGTGATTCTCACATGGTATAGAGCAGGTTCCCTAGTGGGAACGTTTCCTAGGGCCCACCACTGAAAATCGAAAAAAAAAAAATTCCTGCCAGGAGCGCGCTTCGCTCCTGCACGAGTCGCGCCGCGTGTGCCTACCCTCCCGTCGCGTCCCCTGCCCTTAGCGGCCCGTCGCGCCCTCTTACGGCCCCTCGCGCCCCCCCCCCCCCCTCCCACGGCCCTTCGCGACCCCTTCGCGGCTCCCTTGCGGCCCCTTCGCCGCCCTTCGCAGCCCCTCTCATGACCCTTCGCGGCCCCTTGCGGCCCCTTGCGGCCCCTTTGCGGCCCCTCGCGGCCTCGTCGCCGCCCTTCGCGGCCCCTGCGCGGCCCCTTCTCGGCCCCGCCGCCGTCCTTTGCGGCCCCTTCACGACCCTTTGTGGCCCCTTCGCCGCCCTTAGCGGCCCCTTCTCGGCATCTCCGCGGCCCCTTCTTGGCTCCTTCACGGCCCTGCCGCCCAGCCGTCGTCGCCCCAGCAGCAGCGGCCGTCGCGCCGTCACATCCGCCGCCACCACTGTCGGGGCCGCCACCGCCGCCGCTGGTGACGTCAGGAGCCGCCACCGCCGGTGCAGTGACAGCAGAAGCCGCCGCCGCCGTCGACAACAGCAGTCGCCGCCGCCGCTGAGAGCAGCAGCCACCGCCGCCGCCGTTGCCGTGATAGCCGCCGCCGTCGCTGCCGAAGCCGCGGTCGCCGCCGCCACCACCACTTAGAGCAGCAGTCGCCGCCGCTGCCGTAACGGCCGCCGCAGCCGCTACCGGGGCCAAAGCAGCCGCTGTCGCCAACACCAGGAGCCGCTGCAGCTGTTGCGGCCCTGTCCCTGCAGGCGCGCCTTGGCCCTGCCCCTCCTCTTGCGGCACTCTACCCTCCCGCCCTGGTAAGAGCACCGCCAAGCCGCCCCCCTGCGACTGCGCTGCATCTAGCCTGCTGCTACTGCCCCTAGCGTGCTGCTACTGCTGTCATGGCTACCCCTAGCGTTCTCGTCTTTGTTGCTGAGTGTCGGGCTGTTGACTTGGAGGTTTGGGTCAATAATCTGCAGCTTTTCCTACAGTGCAATAGGAAAGACGGTCTCTCACTGTTCGATGTCACGTCTGGCGCCTCTACTGCCCCTGCTGCCGATACTGACAGCACTGTTTGCTCAGAGTGGGCCACACGCGATGCTGCTGCCCGTCTTGCTGTGCGTAGTCACTTGCCGTCCTCTGAGCGCGCGCACTTTAGTCAGTACAAGAGTGCTAAGACCTTGTACGACGCTGTAGTCGCACGCTACTCTTCCCCTGCCACTACTGCCCTTAGCCGCCTCATGCTGTCGTACCTGCTCCCTGACCTCGCCGCCTTCCCCACAGTCGCTGATCTCATTACGCACCTTCGCACTAGTGACACCCGCTACCGCGCTGCGCTTCCTGCTGAGTTCTGCGCCAAGAACCTCCCCTCCCATGTACATCACCCTCTACTACACAGTCACCCGGCTCCCTGACTCCCTTCGCTCGGTCAGGGACCACTTCCTCTCTGTTTGCCCCACCACTCTCACCGTTGCCCTCCTCGAGGAGCGCCTCCTGGCAGCTGAGAAGAGTATAGTAGCTGTAGGAGCCTCTCGTGGTGACCCTCGTGCCCCCTTCTTTGAGGGGTGCTCCCCCTCCCCCCTTTTGCCCTCGGTTGCCTCTGCTGCTGCCGTCGACTTCGTTGGCACCGAGTTGGTCGGCGCTGCGTCTGCCCCTAGCGGGAGTCGCCACACCGGCAAGGGCAAGGGGGGCAAGGGCGCTGGAGGGGCTGGCGGGGGCGGTGGAGGTGGCGGTGGAGGCGGCGGCGGGAGTGGGGGTGGCGGTGGGAGTGGTGGCGGGGGTGGGGGCTTCGGTGGCAGCGGTGGAGGCGCAGGCGGCGGCGGAGGTGGCGGTGGGAGCAAAGGAGGAGGCGGTGGCGGCGGTGGCGGCGGCGGAGGTGGAGCTGGTCGGGGAGGCTCTCCCCAGCGGGGCGGCTTCGGTGGCGGTCAGCGCCAGCAGCAGCTGCGCACTCGTGAGACCCCGCCCCCACAGCAGCTTCGTCAGTGGTACGCTGCGCGTCAGCGAGGTGGGGGTGCTGGTCCTTGTGCCTACGTCCTGCGTACCGGCGACCGCACTCGTGAGCCGTGCGGTGGCCCGCACTCCACCCAGCGCTGCTTCGGCCGCTTGACGGACGCTTGGCGTCTCCAGTTCCCTGACGCCACTGAGATCCCCCGCTGGGGCGAGCTGCTTAGGTCGGGGGTTGCTATATTTGATCTTGATTATGATGCTATTCTTGCTGCCATGTATGTTGTGTCTACTAGTGATGAGGGTGACTATTACCTGTGTGTTCCGCCTGACCCGGGCATTGAAGCTGCTGCTCTAGGTGCTGGTGACGCTACTGCTCTAGGTGCTAGTGCGTCTGCTATCCCAAGTGCTGGTGAGTCTGCTCTCTCAGGTACCACGTCGGCTCAGGCCTTACACACCTTCACCCTTGACTCGGGTGCTTCCCGCTCCTTCTTTCAAGACCGCACCCCACTTACGCCGCTTAGTCGGCCGGTTGCGGTCTCCCTGACGGATCCCTCTGGCGGTCCTGTCCTTGCCCACTTCTCCACTGTCTTACCGTGTCCGGCGGCCCCCTCTGGCACCTTGTCAGGTCTCTACCTCCCCTCATTCTCTACAAACTTGGTGAGTGGTGCTGATCTACAGGATGGGGGGGCTGACCAGTTCACTCCTCCGAGTTAGCGAGTGACCCACTGCACGTGTGCTCGGACGGGCCGACACTTGGCCACGTTTATCCGTCAGCTGGGGTCGAGCTTGTACACACTGACTACTGCGTCTCCTCTGGTTGCTGAGTCTGGTCAGGTAGCTGGGTCGGGTCAGGTGTTTGCTGCAGCGTCCAGGTCTGGTCCTCAGTCTACCCCCTGCTCGTGTCGTCTCCTGTCCCACCAGGCTCTCCTCTGGCACCACCGCCTTGGTCACCCCTCCCTGCCTCGTCTCCGAGGCATGGCCTCCCATTACCTTGTCTCTGGTCTCCCCCGGTCCCTCCCTCCCCTCCCTCCGGGGCCTGCCCCTACCTGCGTTCCCTGCGTCGAGGGGCGGCAGCGCGCCGCTACTCACTCTGAGATTCCTCCGACAGAGGCTCTACTGGAGACTCTTCACATGGACGTGTGGGGCCCCGCCCGCGTCCGTGGCCAGGGTCACGAGCGTTACTTTCTGTTGGTGGTTGACGACTACTCGCGTTACACCACAGTCTTCCCCTTGCGTAGCAAGAGTGACGTGACTGAGGTGCTGATCGACTGGATCCGCGCAGCTCGTCTCCTGCTCAGAGAGAGTTTCGGCTCGAGCTTTCCTGTTCTGCGTCTGCACTCTGACAGAGGCGGAGAGTTTTCCTCTGGCCTTCTGGGAGCCTTCTATCGTGCACAGGGCATCCGCCAGACGTTCACGCTTCGGACCTCTCCACACCAAAATAGGATTGCTAAGCACCGCATTGGCATGGTCATGGACGTCGCTCGTACGTCCATGATCCATGCGGCTGCTCCCCATTTTCTGTGGCCATTTGCGGTTCGATACGCGGCGAATCAGATCAACCTTCAGCCTCGGGTCTCCCTGCCAGAAACCTCCCCCACCTTGCGGTGGACGGGGAAGGTTGGCGATGCGTCTGTGTTTCGTGTCTGGGGATCTCAGGCGTTTGTCCGCGACTTGTCTGCGGACAAGTTGTCCCCCCGTGCTGTTCCCGGCGTCTTCCTTGGCTTCCCCCCTGACGCGCCTGGTTGGCAGTTTTACCACCCCACCTCGCGCCGTGTTCTGTCCTCCCAGGACGTCACCTTTGACGAGTCGGTTCGTTACTACCGTCTCTTCCCCTACCGCACTGCGCCCCTCTTCCCGCCGCCGCTCTTCCTCGCGCTACGTCTCCCCCTCCGGTAGACCCTCTCCCCCCTCATGGTCCTGCCCTGTCTGGTGTGTCCTAGGTAGACGCAATCGAGCCTGTCTAGGTAGATGTTGACTCTGGTGCTGCTAGGGGCGCTGAGCCTGCGGGTGCAGGGTCTGGGGGTGCTGAGTCTTGGGGTGCTGAGTGTGGGGGTGCTGAGCCTGGGGGTGCTGCGTCTGGGGGTGCTGAGCCTGGGGGTGCGGAGCCTGGGGATGCGGAGCGTGCGGGTGCTCGGTCTGCTCGTGTGGCCTCTGGCGGTGCTCGGTCTGGGGGTCCTTCGGGTGCTTCGTCTCGGCCGGAGCTACCCTCTCCACGGGAGCTGCGTGAATGGTTTGCCCGGCGCTGGAGCCGTGCTGCTGGAGTTGGAGGTGCTGTTGCTGAGGGTGTTGGTGCCACGGGTGCCGGCGGTGCTCGTACTGGAGGTACTGCAGCTACAGGGCCTGGGGGTGCTCCTTGTGCTAGAGCTCCTGGTGGTGCTGGAGCTGGCGGTGCTTCTGGAGCAGGTGGTGCTGGAGGTGCTCGAGCTAGGGCTGTTGAGTCTTCAGGTGGTCCGCCTGGAGCTGGAGGTGCTAGGGGTGTTGGCGCTGGAGGTGCTGCTCGCACTGGTGCTTCTAAGGGTGCTGGAGTTGGCGGTGCTGCGGCTGGGGGTGCTACTGGTGCTGGTGCTGCAGCTAGGGGTGCTGGTGCTGTACCTGCTAGTTCTGGAGGCGCTGCGCGGTCGCGGCCGTACTTCGTTCCGCTCCTTGAGCAGGTTCTTCGTCTCCCGCCTTCTGCTAGTCTTGCTCCTTCTTTAAAGTGTCCGCCGCTTGTCCAGTCCGAGTCACAGTTACAGCCCGCCTCCCCACTGCCTGCTCCTTCTCCCTATACTGGTCGTACTGGAGGTCTTGCTGAGCGTCGTGAGCCTGCGTCTCGTCCTGCGTTGCCTGTTTGTACTGCTCGCACTAGTCGTCGTGTTCCGCGTCCGCGTCCTCCTGCGGTCCCGGGCACACACCAGATGGCACTGCGTCCTTCCACTGCTCCTCTGCGTGTCCCGTTGCCATTTCCTCCAGAGTCCTCTCTTCCTGCTCTTGCTGACCCGGCGTCTGACTCTCTTTGACCTGCCAGTCCTACTGTCATGCGTCTTCTGGCTACTGTTGACACTGACCCTTCCTTTGCGTCCACTGCTGCGTATGCCCTAGTTGCTGAGCTTGTTGACTTCGCTGCTCGCTGTCGTCTCGACTACGCCACTTGTCTCATGGCTGAGTCTGACTCTGTCTGTCCTCCGTTTGTCGGGGGTGAGTGTGCTCTTGGCACGAACGTCCTTGAGGACAGGCAGGAGGAGTTCTAGTGTTTTGCTGCTACTTTGCCTTATCTCGTGTCCATGGTGATTGCCCCTGAGGGAGACCCGGATGCACCAGACATCCCGACTCATCGATCGTACGCTGAGGCGATCGAGGGTCCCTACTCCTCACACTGGCAGTCAGCCATGGACGCAGAGATGGCATCATGGAAGTCCACAGGCACCTACGTGGACAAGGTTCCCCCTCCTGGGGCGAACATCGTCAGTGGCATGTGGATTTTTAGGGTGAAGCGGCCGCCAGGTTCTCCGCTTGTCTTCAAGGCTCGTTACGTTGCTTGAGGCTTCAGTCACCAAGACGGAGTTGACTTCTTCCAGACCTTCTCCCCCACCCCAAAGATGACTACTCTTCGGGTGCTGCTGCACGTTGCCGCTCAGCGAAACTACGAGCTTCACTCTCTTGACTTCAGCACAGCTTTCTTGCAGGGCAGCATGCACGAGGAGATCTGGCTGCGCCTTCCACCTGGCTTCACTGGGTCGTTCCCTCCTAGTACCCAGTGGAGCCTCCGACGGCCAGTCTACGGTCCCCGAGAGGCGCCACATGAGTGGCACGACACACTGAGGACGACTCTTGCGGCTCTTGGGTTTGCCCCGTCGACTGCTGACCCGTCGCTGTTTCTGCGCACCGACACTTCCCTGCTGCCATTGTACATCCTCGTGTACGTCGACGACTTGGTCTTTGCCACTGCTGACACTGAGGCGCTAGCCCTGGTGAAGTCGGAGCTGCAGAAGAGACACACGTGCACAGACCTGGGTGAGCTGCGCAACTACCTTGGCTTGCAGATCACCCAGGACAAAGCACGCCGCACCATCACACTGACTCAGTCACACATGGTGCAGCAGGTCCTTCAGCGCTTTGGCTTCACCTGGTCCTCAGCACAAGCGACACGTCTGGCTACAAGTCACTCGCTCTCAGCTCCACCTTCAAACGAGTCTGTAGAGCCGAGTGGTCCTTACCCAGAGCTAGTGGGCTGCCTCATGTGCCTGATGATCTGCACTCGTCCTGACCTTGCGTACCCTCTTCGCCTTCTGGCTCGCTACATGACTCTTGGTTGGCACCGAAAGGTGCACATGGATGCTCCTAAGAGGGTACTATGCTACTTCTGCAGTACATCGGGCATGGGTCTCATGCTTGGAGGACGGGGTGAGGTTGTCCTCACTGGTCACTCGGACGCCTCTTCAGTTTACGACCAGGCTACGCAACGGTCATCACAGAGTTACACCTTCAGCCTTGGCTCTGGTTCAGTTTCTTGACGAGAAGTGAGAATGCATGAATGAACTATGAAACAGCTAGGTACAAGTACTAACCCTAATTGGGCTGTACCCCTTATGGGCTACCCCACTACAGCCTACACAAATGTATAAGCTATAATGTTCTGACACACCCCCATAGGCAAAGTGGGGGAGAACAAGCGGTCACAAGACGAGTCAAGCAGAGCAAAGGAAGCTCAGGGTGGATCACAAAGTCACCACACAGTCTGAGCACAAGAGTAAGGCCACAAGGCCAGTTCACATGCAAGATCATATATATAAAGGTAAACAAGCAAGTGCAGGTATAGAAAGAGGACAGTACAAACAAGATCAAGAAGTCAGCAAGTGAGGCCAGGTAGGCACAAGACCTAGCAAAGTACAGAAGCGCTGATGATTACAAGGCGGAAGGGCCTTGGTGAATATATCAGCAGTGTAGGCCTCAGAGGCCACGTAGGTGAGGCAGAGTTGACCACGCTGCTGCAGCTCACGAGCCAGGAACTAGCGGAGAGTAACGTGCTTCGTTCTGTGCTCCAGTCTGTGCTCCCGACACAAGGCCAGAATGGCCTTGTTGTCTACGTACAGCACTAGAGGAGAACGAGGCGGCTCTCCTAGGTCAGTCAGCAGGTAGGTGAGCCAGCGTAGCTCCTGTGCAGCCATGGCCCCTGCGTAGATCTCAGCCTCACAGCTGGAGGTGAGAACAGAAGACGAGCGGGTAGACCGCCACGAAACAGAGACGGAGCCAAGGTTGAAGGTGTAACCCTGTCACGACCGCTGCAGAGCCTGGTCGTCAGCCCAAGAAGCGTCAGCGTGACCTGTGAGGACTACTCGATGACGCCCTCCAAGCACTAGCCCCATGCCCGACGTACTGCACACGTAACGCAACACCCTCTTCGCTGCAGCCATGTGCTCTGGTCGGTGTCTCCCAGGAGCAACATAGCGTGCCAAGATGCTAAGAGGGTATGCAAGGTCAGGTCGTGTGCAGGTCATCAGGTACATGAGGCAGCCTACAAGATCTGGGTACGGGCCACTCGACTCTACGGACTCATCCGAAGGCAGAGCTGAGAGCGAGTGGCGAGTAGGCAGAGGAGTGGCCTAAGGCGAGGAGTACGTGAAGTCGAAGCGCTGAAGGACCTGCTGCACCATGTGTGACTGAGTCAAGGTGATGGTGCGGCGTGCTCTGTCCCGGGTGATCTGCAAGCCAAGGTAGCTGCGCAGTTTACCCTGGTCTGTGCACGTGTGTCTCTTTTGTAGTTTTGACTTTACGTGGGTGAGTCCAGCAGTGTCAGCAGTGGCAAAGACCAAGTCGTCGACGTACACGAGGATGTAGAGCGGCGGGAAAGAGGTGTCGGTGCGCAGAAACAGCGACGGGTCGGCACTAGAAGGAGCAAACCCAAGAGCCGCAAGTGTAGTCCTCACTGTGTCGTGCCACTCATAGGGCGCCTGGCGGAGACCGTAGACTGGCCGCCGGAGGCTCCACTGGGTACCAGGAGGAAACGACCTAGTGAAGCCAAGTGGGCAGCGCAGTCAGATCTCCTCGTGCAGGCTGCTCTGCAGGAAAGCTGTGCTGAAGTCAAGAGAGTAAAGCTCGTAGTCGCGCTGAGCGGCTATGTGCAGCTGCACCCGAAGAGTGGTCATCTTCGGGGTGGGAGAGAAGGTCTGAAAGTAGTCAACTCCCTGTCGCTGACTGAAGCCTCGAGCCATGTAACACGCCTTGAAGACAAGCGGAGAACCCGGTGGCCGCTTCACCCTGAAAATCTACATGCCACTGACAATGTTCGCCCCAAGTGGGGGAACCTCGTCGACGTAGGTGCCTGTGGACTTCCAGGAAGCCATCTCTGCATCCATGACCGACTGCCACGGAGAGGAGTAGGGACCCTCGATCGCCTCAGCGTATGATCGAGGAGTCGGGATGTCTGGTGCATCTGGGTCTCCCTCAGGGGCAATCAGCGTAGACAAGAGATGGGGCAAAGCAGCCGCAAAGCACTAGAACTCCTCCTGCGTATCCTGAAGGACGTCCGTGCTAAGAGCACACTCACTCCTGACGGACGGAGGACAGACAGACTGAGACTTAGCAACTAGACTGGCAGCGTAGTCTAGTCGACAGCGAGCAGCAAAGTCGACAAGCTCGGCAACTAGAGCAGACGCAGCAGTGGACTCAAAGGAAGGGTCAGTGACGACAGTAGGAAGAAGGCGCGTGACCGAAGGACTAGTAGCACGAAGGGAGTCAAACTCCGCGTCAGCAAGAGAAGGAAGAGAGGACTCTAGAGGAGACGGCAACGGGACACGCAGAGGAGCAGTGGAAGGACGCAGCGCCATCTGGTGTGTGTCGGGGACCGCAGGAGGACGTGGACGTGCAGTACGACCACTAGTGCGAGCAGCACGAACAGGCGACGCGGGACGAGACGCAGGCTCACGACGCTCAGCAAGGCCTCCAGTAGGACCAGTGGAGGGAGAAGGAGTAGGTAGAGGGGAGGCGGGCTGGAACTGTGACTGCGACTGGACAGGCGGAGGACACTCTAAGGGAGGAGCAGGACCAGTAGAGCGCATGAGACCAAGAACCTACTCCAGGAACGGAACGAAGTACGGCCTCGGCCGCACAACGCCTCCAGAACCAGCAAGGACGGCACCAGTACCCCCAGCGGCAGCACCAGCGCCAGCAGCACCTCCAGCTCCAACATTGCCAACTCCAACACCCTCACGAGCACCAGCACCAGCAGCAGCGCGAGCGCCAACACCCCCAGCAGGTCCAGCTCCAGCAGCACCAACTCCAGGAGGACCGTCAGCACCAGCAGCCTCGGCAGCACCCCTAGACGCACCAGCACCAGTAGAACCACCAGCGCCAACACCCCCAGCAGCTCCACCTCCAGCAGCACCAGCACCGACAGCAGCTCGAGCAAGACCAACTCTAGTAACTCCAGCAGCACCCCCGGACTCAGCAGCACGTCTCCAGCAGCGGGCGAACCACTCGCGCAACTCTTGTGGAGAGAGAGGCTCCCTCCTTGACGAAGCACCGCCGGCGGCCACACGAGCAGACCCAGCAACCCCAGGCTCCGCACCCCCTCACTCAGCACCTCCAGGCTCAGCATCCCCACGCTCAGCACCCCCAGGCTCAGCACCCCTAGTCTCAGCACCCCCAGGCTCAGCACCCCCAGTCTCAGCACCCCCATACTCAGCACCCCCAGACCCGGCACCCGCAGGCTCAGCACCTCTACTAGTACCAGAGTCAACAGCTACTTCGACAGGCTCGACTGCGTCTACCCGGGACACACCTGACGAGGCAGGACCCTAAGGGGGGAGGAGGTCTACCTGTGTAGCACCTGGGACAAGGAAGAACGGCGGCGGGGGGAGGGGAGCAGTGCGGTAGGGGCAGAGACGGTATTAAGGCACCGACTCGTCAAAGGTGACGTCCTAGGAGGACAGAACACGGCGCGAGGTGGGGTGGTAAAACTGCCACCAAGGCGCGTCAGGGGGGAAGCCAAGGAAGACGCAGGGAACAGCACGGGGGGACAGCTTGTCCGCAGACAAGTCGCGGACAAACGCCCGAGATCCCCAGACCCGAAACGCAGACGCATCGCCAACCTTCCCGGTCCACTGCAAGGCGGGGGAGGTCTCTAGCAAGGAGACCCGGGGCTGAAGGTTGAGCTGATGCACGGCGTACTGAATTGCAAACGGCTAAAGAAAATGAGGGGCAGCCACATGCATCATGGACGTATGAGCGACGTCCATGACCATGCCAATGCGGCGCTCAGCAATCCCATTTTGCTATGGAGAGGCCGGAAGCGTGAAGGTCTGGCGGATGCCCTGTGCACGACAGAAGGCTCCCGGACGGGCAGAGGAAAACTCCCCGCCTCTGTCAGAGTGCAGGCGCAGAACAGGAAAGTCCGAGTTGAAACTCTCTCTGAGCTGGAGACGAGCTGCGCGGATCCAGTCGATCAACACCTCAGTGACGTCACCCTTGCTACGCAAGGGGAAGACTGTGGTGTAACGCGAGTATTCGTCAACGACCAGCAGAAAGTACCGCTCTCGCCCCTGCCCACTGACGCGGGCTGGGCCCCACACGTCTATGTGAAGAGTCTGCAGCGGAGCCTCTGTCGGAGGAAACTCGGAGGAGTGAGGGGTGGCGCGCTGTCGCCCCTCGACGTAGGGGACGCAGGTAGGGCCAGGCAGGGAGAGACCAAGGGAGACCAGAGACAAGGACACGGGAGGCCATGCCTCGGAGACGAGGCAAGGAGGGGTGGCCAAGGCGGTGGTGCCAAAGGAGAGTCTGGTGGGACAGCAGACGACACGAGCAGGGGGCAGACTCAGGACCAGACCTGGAGACCGCAGCAAACACCTGACTTGACGTAGCTACCTGGGCAGACTCAGTAGTAAGGGTGTACAGGCTCGACCTTGGCCGACGCGTGAACGTGGCCAAGTGTCGGCATGTCCGAGCACACGTGCAGTGGGTCACTCGCTGACTCGCAGGAGTGAACTGGTCAACCCCTCGATCCTGTAGGTCCGCTCCACTCACCAAGTTCGTAGAGAACAAGGGGAGGTAGAGACCAGACAGGGTGCCAGACGGGGCTGCTGAGCACAGAAAGACAGTGGAGAAGCTAGCAAGGACAGGACCCCCAGAGGGGCCTGCCAGGGAGACTTCAACCAGCCGAGTGAGCAGCGTAAGAGTGGTGCGGTCTCGAAAGAAGGAGCGGGACGCACTCGAGTCCAGGGTGAACGTGTGGAAGGCCTAAGCCGACGTAGTACCTGAGAGAGCAGGTTCACCAGCACCTGGGGCGGCAGACGCACTGGCACCTGGGGCAGCATACACACTAGTACCTAGAGCAGCAGCCTCACCAGCACCTAGAGCAGCAGCCTCAATGCCCGGTTCAGGCGGTACACACAGGTAATAGTCACCAGCAACACTAGTATCAACAGCTTACATGGCAGCAAGGATAGCATCAAAGTCAAGATCAAAGATAGAGACCCTGGCCTTAGCCAGATCTCCCCAGCGAGGGATCTCTGACGCC